AAGTGGGGCCGTTCCCTTACATAAATCGGAAATTCAACCTAAACTCTGGCACAACTCTGCTGCTGTTTCTTTAAATACATATTATCATGTCTGGGAAAAATCCGAGCTAGGGCTGACGGAAAAAGCACAGTCTTGTCCATTTAAGACAAAGGTAGAGATCCTTGCCAAAACGAGACTGTGGCTGTCCGAAGGCGACCCGAACCAAGCTGATGTCTTGAATATCTCTGTGGAAGTGCTACGCTGCGCGGCTTCAGCTTATTGCTCCCAGTTCCGGTTTCGCTCTGTTTGTCTTTTCAGGGCTCATTTGTCGCTGGTTTCATGGCCGTGTTTCCAGACCCTGGTGAAATGCGTGCGATATTCCGTACAATATGTCGATCAGCTTTCATTGGATCCAAGTAGGTTATATGTATATCCAATTGCCCAATGCTTTGTCTATGATCTGAAGCCATCCTGTCGACTGTGTGGCCTATATTGAGTCTCCAATGCTAGGTGCATGTATTAAGCTTTCAGTCGTAATTCTCTGACGGAGGGTCAACGTAGCTACCGGATCCGAAGACCGCAGCATTATGCATCCGGCGATAACCACCTCAACTTCTGAGGCCTAGACGAAAAAGGAAGACTGTGAGACAATGTCCCAGCGCCAAGCTAACAAGGCCTTCTGTCTCGGAACGGTTTCTCTAAACGGCACGCAGTACATGGCTGAGAGTCATGTGCAGTAGGTGTTCTGTACCATTCGCCGTCAATCATTTTGTCGGAGAGCTTTAATGGTCAGCTATGGATTTCTAACTTATCATTCCGGTGGGAGATGAAGTCTTCGAGCTAGCTACGTCAGTGATTCCATGTATTGTCAAAAATGCCTCAAGGAAACTATGAGCCACTGGTAATGTGACAAGGGTACGATAGTAGGCTTGGAGTCAATCGCTCAATTCATCTAATAACAGTCTTGGGTATCAAAGGTCCTTGGTTTTACTCAAGGCCTCGTTGACCAAAGACGTCTTTAAATACAAATCGGTGAGGGACTTTGCCCTGGTCCCGTGATCGTCGCCCTCGTGTAACCTTGTGACGGATGAGAAGTACTGATTTGGCATACTTCGTTTGAAGGACTTGATAACAGAGGGATGGGCCCGTTGATGAAGCTTTTCGATGGAGAAATTCAGATCATTCGGAGAGGCCTCCCAAAGAAGAATTGTGTCTAGGTCGCAGGCAGGAACAATCAGGCTGTAGGATCTCGTAAGTGGCCTCGACTCCTCATTCGTTGTACCGGTGCCATAGTTCGAGGACGCATGATTATCTGGACACAAAGCCGCGACAAGTTTTGCCATTGCCTCTCTTCTCGGATTGTGTGCATCGGACCACTGGGGCTGGTGTCCCAAGACTGGGCACATTTTGTAAATATTGTCGACGCTCAGAGTCGCCATCAAAGCAGCCACGGCCGTTGTTTCATCTTGGACAAACTCAAACGGTCCACTCTGCCAGCGACCGATGCTCTGTGTTGGGTTTTTGTAGTCGGTTCGCTTGCCCAGTCAGTCACTTGGTGGTGCAGAGAATTGATGAGCGTAACCAAAACTAGACCGAGACGGGACGACGCCGAATATTGAAAACCCGGGACATTGAGCTCATCTGTCTGGTAGCTTCAGATTGTCAATTTAATTGGTTCAAAAATTACGATGCGCTTCGGAACGAGCAGGTGTCACCCACCCGGAAGAAAACCCCCTCCTCATGCCTGTCTTGTGAAACCCCCTCATATTGGGCGGCACGGGTTGAAATCGCCCTCCCTCCAAACCAGAACATTGTTTTCATCAGACCCGGCAGCCAACAGTCGTGACGCATTACGTTTGGTGTTCCGCAAGTTGCACATGCAGTATGAGAATCGAGGCGACATCGTGGGAGGTCAAGGCTGCGGCCAAGCAGGCGGGCACAAGGGCCAAAATTCCACCTTCGTGGAGGCTGAGCGCAGGCGATCTTCAAAGGGCCAAGAATCAGCGGGATCTCACAGGACCCTTTATTCGCCAGTTGCTGCCAGAGAATGTCAACATCATCACCTCCAAGGATAGCCTGGAGCTGGTCGAGTCTCTGAGGCGAGGAGACCTGACCGCCGTCGAGGTCACGACGGCCTTCTGCAAGACGGCTGCTGTGGCGCACCAGATTGTGGGTTCAAAGCAATTCCCGTTTTATTCACCAGCAAGTAGAAATCTGACGGGGCTGGGCCAAGTAGAACAACTGCCTTCACGAGATATTCTTCGACGAGGCCATTGAGCGCGCAGCCCATCTTGATGCACACTTTGTTCAGCACAAAACCGTGGTAGGACCCTTGCATGGCCTCCCAATCAGCCTAAAGGACCAATTTCACGTCAAAGGTGTCGACACGACCATGGGCTATGTAGGATGGATCGGCAGTAATTTGGGTGTCACTCACCCAAGCCAGATACACAAACTCGAAAGCCAAGTTGTCAGCGAGCTGCTGTCTCTAGGTGCTGTATTGTACTGTAAGACAAGCGTGCCGCAAACTCTTCTGTTTGGCGAGACCAAGAACAACATCATCGGCCAGACTCTGAATCCACGCAACCAAAACTTATCATGCGGCGGATCGTCTGGTGGTGAAGGAGCGCTGCAGGCTCTGAGAGGCAGCACGCTTGGAGTTGGCACCGATATTGGTGGCTCGGTCCGCATTCCCGCCGCCTTCAATGGAATATTCTCTTTGAAGCCAACACCTGAGAGGGTGTCGTATCGTGATGCCGCCAACACAAATCCGGGACAGAACACCTACCGCTCTACTGTTGGCTTTCTCAGCACGTCGTTGGATGGCCTCGAGCTCATTTTTCGAGGAATTTTGTCCACGAAACCGTGGCTGAATGATCCTGCTGTTGTGCCAATGCCTTTTCGCCAGGATTTTGTTGATGACTACACCTGCCGCGTGGAGCGCAACGGATCGGTCAAAAAATCCAAGCAGCCGCTAAAACTTGGTGTTCTGTGGACAGATGGCCTTGTCCAGCCTCACCCTCCAGTCACCCGTGGCCTGAACACTCTGGTAGCTGCACTCAAACGAGCAGGCCATCTGGTACGCCGTTGTAGACTGAACTGTATTTTGCCATGAACTTCTATGAGGCTGACCATACTCCAACTTCAGGTAGTCGATTGGAATCCACCCTCGCAAAAGACAGGCGGAAGTGTGCATGTAAGAACAATGGCTGGTTCGCAACACAACCCTGGGCGCGGGTTCACTAATCATCGATGAATAGCAATCGTTTCTAACAGCCGACGGCGCACACGGCATCCACGAGCACCTCAACCTCTCTGGGGAACCACTCATAGCGGATCTTCAGGAGGAATTCCAGCTGAAACCACCCATTGGACTGCTCCAATACCAGGAAAATACTCTGGAGGGGCTCTCCTATGAGGCCAAGTATTCAGACTACTGGAACCAGACCGCGAGTGATGACGGTAAGCTTTATTAACCTGTTAACCAAGATGCAATGAGATTGTAAAGTTGATTTGTCCGGGCCTAGGTCAAATTGTGGATGCCGTCATCATGCCTGTTGCTCCCCACGCGGCAGTAATCCCTGGAAAGTATTACCACACAGGTGGGATCGCGTCTCATATCAGTCACTCTGAGAATGAGAGGCTAATCATGCATCTAGGATATACCAAGATTATCAACGTGTTGAACTACAGCGCAGTTGTAGTTCCCGTGACAAAGGCCGATAAAAGTATTGACGCTATAGACGGTAGTTATTGCCCCAAAAATGGGACAGACCAACGCAACTGGGATGCATGTATGTGTACTTCTCTGCTCTGCCTCTGCGAAGCACGCTGACTCTGTTCGCAGACGATCCTGAAGTCTACGATGGAGCCCCGGTCGGGGTTCAGCTAGTTGCTCGAAAGTTTGAGGAGGAAAAGATATTGGCCATTGCAAAAATAGTGGTTGCTGTCCTTGAGGAGGCAAAAAATAATGAGAAAAGATGATTGAAGAAACAAGACGATTCTGGGTGAACCTTTCCAGCCTTTAGAGGCACATCACCTTGGGTCATCAATGTTCCTGGCGAAGGGCTTGGGACGGAGGTGAAAGGGGGATCAATATCGCATCTTGTATATCATCAACCCGTCGGCTCTGAAGTGCTTCCTAGACCCTCTTGAGCGATTCCTGCAAGTTGCTGGTGTTGAAGAAATCGGCGCCACAACTTCTTCCACCGTCAATGGCTGGTGCGCGTCCCGGAACTCGCCCGACGCCATGGTGAGAGGCTGAGAGATTTCCTCATTAGGCAATGGCCGGAGACGGGGTTGTCATGGATGCCCCTGAAACTCTAATAAAGCCCTGGACGTGAAAACTTTGTCGAGTCCTGCCAGAGGTTGTGAACGACGTGACTCGAGCGGGGCTGAGGAATGACAGGTTGAAAGGCAGCCATGTTGAATGTGCATCTCGTATTGGCGGGGAAGCAGGCAACCAGACGTTAAAGGCGGCGAGTCAGGAAAGTCAATGTTTGGTGCCCGTCGCCTTCATTTCGCAATCTCGAGGCAGAAATACCCACTTTCGGACTCGCAAGGGTCAAAGCGAGCATCATGATGAAGATAAAATTACGCCCATTGCTCCACGACTGCCAATTTCAAGCCCAAGACTCGGGAATTCATCGGACTCAATTGTCAAGTTGATGCTCTGGCCCGGTATCAATTAGGACTTTTATTGTCGCCATTGCATCCTTTTTTTTAACAACGCGACCTCGAAGATTCCGCCTCTTGACATAATACACAAATACGTTTTCAACTGACAGCATGGACAACCACGACTTTGATCCGTTTGAGGATGTGCCGGACCACCTCAAAGTTTTGGGCCAAGGCTGGGCGGCCAAGTTTAACCCAGCCGTGCCGCGTATCATGGACCTGAGTCTCCGTCATATACTCATGCCTAGTGTATCCGAGGTAGTTTGCGTCAGATTCTCGCCAGATGGCGGTCTCGTTGCCGTTGGCATCGATTGCGGAGTTCAAATCTTCAGAACAGATACGCGACAAATGTTTTGTGAGATGAAGCACGGCCTGACCCAATGGGGGCAGCCCGACTTGGTTCGCGCAGTCTGCTTCCTGGCAGGAGGCAACGTTTTGGCCGCTGCTGGTGATGACGGAAAAGTCAGGCTGTGGGATATCAATAGTCGCAGTATTACCCACTCCTTTCTCGGGCATGAGGCGACAGTTACTTCCCTGGAATTATCCAAGGACTCGAGGTTCCTTGTCTCGGGCTCTGAGGACAAGACGGTGCGCTGTTGGGATATCAACTCTGGTCAGGAGGTAGCAAAAGGCGTCCTATCCCATCGCGTCTTATCGCTTTCACTCTCTCCGGATGCAAAGATTCTCGCTGCAGGAACTCTGCACGGAGCTGTGCTGCTAGATGGGACTACCTGCGGCCTTGTCGGGGAAGTTGGAGACGGTGATGCCCATGACAATACGGTGTATTCTGTTGCGTTTTCTCCTGATGGCAGCCGACTTGCCACTGCCGGTTCGGATAAGATGGTGCGCATTTGGGACATGTTGCCATCTGGTGGCAAGCCTAGGTTGTTGCATGCAATAGATGGGCACGAGGTGCGTACGGTGATGTTGATCTTTTCCCAACAATCCAACTCAACTACTAATTCCTTTCATAGGATGAGGCCCTATCGGTTTGTTGGGCAGAGAACGGCCGCTGGATCATATCTGGTTCCAAGGACAGAAGCTTCTTGATCTCAGACTCAGAGTCTGCCAAAGTCCAAGCGACCGTGTATGGCCACAGCAACGTAGTCTTATCAGTGACTTCTATGCCTGCACAGTGTCTTTTTGCTACGGCAGGCTCTGACCTTGGACGTGTCATGCTCTGGTCTTACAAGATTCTCACTGAACCTTACATGGCTCCTACATCAGCCCCTCGAGCCAGCTTGAAACGGCCGGGATCTGGCCTGCCGTTGCATTACTTGCCGCCGTCGAAGAAGCACTTTCCCATCTTTATGGGAGACGAGGAACGTGACTGGTCTGCTGCCACCTTGCTTATTCGTGAAGTTTGTATGCTCAAAATGATTGATCAACTGACTGATAAGCCCGAGTGGTGGCTCAAAGTTCGTGATCCCGATATTACGGCTAAATGGAAGGCTGAGGCTTTGGAAATGGATTGGGCAGCCTATCGGCAACATGGTGATTTTACAACTGCCATGGCGGATGCGGTATGTATCGGAAATAGAGGACCAAATGTACTTGTGCTAACCATGGGCTGCTGTAGTGCATCGCCGAGATGCAAAAGAAGGCCGAGTTGTATGAGAAGACAGGTCTGGTTCCAGTCTTCGATTACTCGGCCTGTGTTGTCAAGTCTGATACTATTGCGGCAGACTTGTTTGGAAAGCTCAAGGACGCTGTGATGCCTTTGGAGAATGTTCCCGAAGACCAGAAAGACTGGCACCCTGGCAGCGACGGCAAGGTTCTTGACCTTGTTCATCCATCTCTGTGGCCTTTGGTGTACGGACGCACGCGCATTCTCACCGACAGGACCTGCAATGTTCAGGATTGCATTAGCTCCTGCGGGCAAGGGAGTGTTCTATCCAAGCCAACGAGCGCTGAACTGGTGATGAAGCAGCGTTGGCCGTATGACGAGGACGGGTTGTCGATTCCGTCCTTGTCTCTCAACTTTCAGTGGCTGCCGTGTGATGTAGTAATTGATACAGACGGACATGCTACGATTGACAGCTACATCAACAATCTGAACCCCTCTGAACATGCCGAGCTGTACAGTATCATCGGCGGATTCATCGAACAATCGCTTCCGGCGTGGGATATTGTCTACCGCTGGCCAGACGAATTCAGTTTCCAACGATTGAAAGCAGAAATGGTTGGTCCGAACTGTACGACGCCCGACAAATGCGAGTACGGATGCTACCCGTCGAACAGGCCTCTCAATGAAGGCGAGCGCCCTCGCGAAGACGATGATGAGTCTTCTCCTCCTTCTCCTTCCGCTTCTACCGTGGGCTCCGAGAACGATCCTGTTCGCGATCAATTAGATTCCGAGTGGTTTGACAGGACGCACAAGGTCATCTTGCCAGATGCCGTGCCCGAACAGAACCTGAAGCCCGATCGATTCTTTCACCTAACGCCGCAAGACGTCAGGTCGTCAAAATTCTTCAATGGCAAATCTCGTATACAGGTCATTGTGAAGCTGGCCAACATTCATCTAACGCCAAAAAACCCCACCTACAACGGCGGCTCGTGGCATATCGAGGGACAGTTAAACGAGCACATTTGCGCCACCGCTCTCTTCTACTACGATAATGAGAATATCACGGAATCCCGTCTCGCTTTTCGAACAAGGTCAAACCGCGAAGAGCTTGATACCGGCCTGGACTACCAGCAATCCGATTACAGGTCGATAGCCCGGACCTTCGCCATAGATCCTACGCCGCCGCACGACAGTACCGTGCAAGACATCGGATCAGTGCTCACAAGAAGCGGCCGCGCCGTGTTCTTCCCCAATCTCTACCAGCATCAAGTCCAGCCGTTTTCCCTGGCTGATCCATCACGCCCTGGTCATCGGAAGATATTGGCTTTATTCCTGGTAGACCCGGCTATCCCAATCATTTCTACGGCGCAGGTGCCCCCTCAACAGCCTCATTGGAGGGCCGGTCATGGAACACAACAGGGATCGTCTTCAGAAGATACGGCAACTGATGTTGTAGATTGGGCACAGGCTGTGCAAATCCGGGCAGAGCTTATGCAGGAACGATCTGCTTTGCAGACCCAGACGAACCAAAACTATGAGAAGGCTACTTTTAATTTTTGTGAGCACTAGGACTGTTTTAGATTTTTTAAAAAAAGTTTCATACAGCACCGCAAAGTTGGTTGGGCTTTGTGCTTGATCCGCCGAGTAGTTTCGCGAAATGCTGACCGTCCCCCCGTCGGCAGTGGTGGTTGTTTTTCGACACAATATGTGACATCTGCAGGAAGCTCAATGTGTTCTCCTTGAAAACATAAAATCTGCCATGTAATATGACCACGGAACAGATATGCAGACGGGTCGGTACAAGGGCTAATACCCCAACGAGTGGCAGAACGAGTCAAGCACACGTTGGCATATTTGTAGCAAATATCCCTTACATCAGGTATCACGTCTACTCTTCCAATCACCCAAAAGTTACAAAGCCCAGTCGATCATGCCGAGATTGCCGGCCAAGATATTCTCCGAGACAAGGGACGACAACGCTGCATAGAGAACTCAGCTGCCAAGGAATTATGTACACAACTGTTTCAATATCCATCAGCTGCTGTTCTCGACTGCTCTCTTGCATCTCAAACATGCTTTGTTTTCACCTATACATGATTGACTTACTCACAGCGACCTCAGCAACGCTGCAGTAGGGCACCCCTTGCAAAAGAAGTCAGCGGCAAGGACTCGCTGTAGTTCAAGACAACCAACAGAATGAGACCATCTCCACAGACGAAACACGACCATCAGGTGACTGACAACACCATCTAATTTTCAGCTAGCTTGGGGGCCACGGGGGGCCATTGGGGGGCCGCAAATCCGTGAAAGATTACGTACCGTCTCACTCGGGTATCGCTGACAGAAAACGTGGTCGTCTCGTACAGCCATGCATGGCCCATGGGCTTATGCCTAGCTACATATGGTCACTGTGCAAGGCTGCAAAAGTTAAAACACGATCATGGCAAGAGTCCAAGCAACATTTTCTGTATTTTCTCCGTAGTAAACTCTCCGAGGATCTAATGAGTGACAAGAGCGCGTGCGTAATATGATAAAACAATCAACCGTGTGCAAACATGAAAACTCTGTTGGCCAAGACCCCAACCTCCAAGCTTCTCCAGGAACCAGAGATTTCTAAAAGTCTTGTCAAGGATTCCTTCCCAGGAAATTGCGACTTTTGTCGCCGGGGGGAGTCGAGGCAGCAAGTGCAACGACTTACTTGTGGCATCTGCGCCACTGGACGGCAAACTTGACTCTGAGCTTGCCGCTGATGTGGTCGACCTGTTTCGATAGATGATTTAGTATTGAATCCCGGTAATGACAAGAACAGCTTGTCACACAGCAAGGCTTGGACTTACGGCAATAAGAGCAGGAAGGTGGGTTGGAGTGATGGCGCAAGCCGTGTTCATGTTGAGAATAGCAGTGCTGCCGCCGCACGGCGACCAAGACTCGATGCCAACGCCAGAGTGGAGGTCAAAGTTGCCACTGTAGTGTCCGGGGAGTTTGATGGCGGAAGTGACCGTCTGAGGGTTTCCGGTGAAGGAGAAGACGTTGCTGCACTGGCCGTTGGCACCCTTGGGGATCTCGGCAAATCCAATCATGTCGGTATCGAGAATGGAGAATCTATATACTTGTTAGCGTGGAAGGGGGGGCTTGGATAGAGGTTAGAGCAGACGTACTGGAATCCGGAATCAAACTCCATGTTTAGAGTGAGCTTGCAGTTCTTTCGCCAGTCAGCGGCCTTGGTACCAGGGCCGGTCTGCACCTCGTACGCGGAGAAGGTGGCCTCGAAGAGCGACCCAGTGGCATCGACTTGGATGTCGGCGGTGCCAGCAGGGCAGCCGGTTCCAAGGAGGCTCACTCCGTGGATCTTGACCTTGGAGGGATTATTGGGGTTGGGAGCAGCGGCGGCAAGGCCGAGGAGGGGAGTGAGGAGTCCGAGAAGAAGCATTTTTGAAATACAGAATTCAAAATACGAAATGGTTGGTGGGTGTGATGAAAAGCGAGTGCTTGATCTGGAGATGTTCTGATGGTGTATATCGGAGTGATGATGAGTCTTTTCGTAATTCGAGAGGATATCAGCCCCTTTATATACCCATCTATATGCCCATTCCCTCGGAATGATGCATGAGAATATCTTGGCTCCTAGGCTTCCCCCCTGCGGCTGAGGCCTCGTAGCGTAGTGGTGGTCGTGTGAATTCAAGCATCGTGTCTCCAATAAGCCAACAAGAACCAACCTTGCGGTCAGCCGCTTCGTGCCTCCTTTTCTCAACGGAGAAGTTCTGGGCGTGGATTTGCTGGTTACGAGAGAGGGCTTGATGACAGACATCCAACCACAAGCGGAAACAGAGGCATCGCTTCGTCCAAACCTCAACTTGACCGCCATGTCTGCCTTGGTACTGGGCGTGGAGGCGTTTCTCACCACAAAAGCCCAACACCGAAAAAACGAAGCTATTACTGCACCCATCCCATCAGAGCACAGCGCGGATCCCTGTCCGGCATGGCCAGGTTTCTGAGCTCTACAGCACCATCGTGCGTGACTTGCACAAGGCTCGATAATACAAACTTTACCAAGTATGCCTAAAATCACTCAGTCGACAAATATTGGTACCTGAAGTGGCCACGGGCGGATTCCTGCGGTTGGATGCAAAAGCTGAACCTCAGCTGGGCAAATTCACGGCGCGGGCTAAACCAACCACTTCCATCGGATGACTGCGTGATGCAATGCAGATGCGTCTCGACCGCAATAGGCTTCGTATTACGCGGGAAATGGCTGCTGATGGGCTTTCCCAGCCGAAGAAGAAAAAAAATGATGAGTCGGCACATGCCGTTGACCGAGCTTCTTTTTCAGCCACAACAGCCAGGTTACCGGAAATCAGCAAACCCCTGAAAGCGACCAAGCCTCCGATGAGGCAATGGCCAGGAACGCGGTTATACATTGAGGGAGCCGTCTCGGAACGGACTGAGCACTTGAAGAGGGCTGGCGACATGGAGGAGTTGTTATTTTTCTCCGCCACTATGCGACCTCATACCTGCCTCCGATGTGGAGATGCTTGGTGCAAATACCCATAACCATACATATAAGGTATGCTAAGCTCGGGATTTGACTTCAATGTTTCGCCTACAGCCCTATGCCATACTATGCGGGCTGCGTGGTGGCTTAAGCCTCTCGGTACATGTCCACCTATCAGAGGTCAAAAGGTGTCTCGTATTTCTTTTTTTTTTTCTCTCACCACTTTATTCACTTATTTATAAATGGACACGTCTGCCCCAATCAAGACTGGTCCTGACTTTCAATATCGGCGTTTCAGCTGTCGCTGCAGGTTTGTCCAAGACGTAGTGATGCCATTTTATTGGACGGAGGTGGTAAAGATGCTCGGTGTCTCCAAGTTGAACCCGGCGGTGAGTTACGTAGTCGTACCCCTCATTTATCTTGGTAACATTTGATGACTTGACAGCCGCCAGCGTCGGGTGGTCGGCGGGCTGATGTTCTCTATTCTCTCATAAGAGCCATGACCGCCACTTTGCACAAACAATGACCAACTATTTATTTGACTAGCCGAAGGCCTACACCCTTCTCATATAGGTCAGCTTTTGGATGGTCAATGTCATGGACATGTTGTCTGGGCTCTACGCCTTGACCACGGCAGCAGTCATTGTCTCAGCTACACTCGAAGCAAGTGCTGCGTATCTTTTGCTGAGCCCAATCACAAAACAAAAGACTTGGATGCCTCTAGTTTCCCATCACGAGCTGGTCCTCTAGAAGGAGGAACATTCCAGCCTTGGTCCAGCTCGTCAAGGGAGTCAGTTGCGGCTAGTATACGAAGTGCCGCCCATACATGCGCGATATTTTTAGAGTCGTTTGGCTCTTTACTGCATATACCATAGCCCATATCCATGTAGCTGTACTCTGATTAATGGCTTTATTCCAAGAACTTTGTTTGGTTTCGTATCGGCGGAGTTTCATTTTTGGGTGCATTGTGGCTGCTTTGAGTGTTGTGTTCGAACCTGTTTTTTTTTCCCCTTGTCATGGAGGCATGCAAGATGAGGCTGGCGTTTACGCCCACCTGGGAAAGGATTAGCTTCATTCTCGGTATTTTTACTTCAACTTTAGTCTCATCATCCCATGCTGGCTGCCAGCTGAGAAAACTAGCTCTCGTAGGAACAAGGCTCGCGTTTTGAGACTCTGCTGGCACCGGTTGCTCTTTTCAAAGTTCTGTTGGAAAATTGTTTTTATCCTCGGCCTCTATACCTTGCGCAAAAGGGAAACTGAGCAGCTAAGCTACTTTGCCGCCCCTTCTTAACTTGGTCAAGCTTGAAGAGTGAAATACCGTCTGGAGAAATCGTCATTTGTGGCGGTAGGTGGTTTGAAGGCCAGTGACGCTGTTGATTTAATTCATAATGCTGTAATATAGATCAAAGTACATAGCAATACGGTGCAAGGAGCGTGTTGAGGGCCGAGTATGAAGCTAGGAGATGGCCAGCGGGCCTCGTTGAGAGGGCATCTGAGACATCAAATGATATGAGGTGAAGGTGCTCACCCGATACTAGCCCACATAGCTTAGGGTAAGGGTTAGGATGAGGGTTAGCCATGGGAGGACTAACAGTGGAGCTAGTATCAGATGAGTAGTACGGCCTACTATCATTTCATCTACAGCCTCCTATCAATCGACAATATCATCCGCTAGCAGTCGGCTCAAGTTATCGTGAGGCATAGCTGTAAGAGCGAAAATGGATTTCTTTTCTCTTTCGGCCATTCAGGTGTGACGAAAGCCAAGGTACTGGCTGACTCGCGCTCTGTCAAGTTGCGGAGCCGGCAAGACTGCGCCACCTGACTGGATTCACGTCTGGCTCAGCATCAAATTGCATCGCATCGCGTCGGTTCGGTTCTGGTCCATCAATACCACGGCTGGGTGGCTGTGTCATGGACTTATGGGGTCTGGGGGCATGGACATGGACATGGCCAACATTGAATAAAAGGCACCGCTGTGCTTTTGACGGGGCCTTCAGTTGAAACGCACCGTTTACTGCTACCGTCAAGCCAAAGGGCCAGCCAAGGGAGTCGGAATCAGACAATCAGATGCTTGATCTTCTCCCAAATGTCGACGCAACATCCGCCAACCTATCAACAAGTTACCGGCAGCCCATCAAGCGAACAACACGCAGCCAGCGGCCAGGAAACGCTGGTCCTCGATGGACGCACCATCATTTCGGCACAGGAGCCGTTTCATGTTCTCTATGAACTGAACACGTCCCCATGCGACGCAATAACAAGGGCTTGCGACCTTCACAAGGTCCGATACCAGCTGTCCAGAGCTGACGGCGAAGGCCAAGTGAGAAATCGCCTGGACCACATTTACAGCTTCAAGGAAAAGTCGACCTTTTCGCTCCGCGACCTCCGCAAGCACGTCTTGATTGAGGGCAAAACTAGCCAGAAGCGAACCTACAAAGAAACACTTCTCAGCAGCGGAACCACCGGGTGGACGAGCTGCACTGCCGACAGACACTTCACGGCCAGAATACCCATCACCGACCGGTTGAAAAGCTCCAGTCAAATCGTGTGGAAGAGCCCGGATGGCACGACGGCGGCCCTCGAGGCACGACCCAAGAGACGCGCCGATGGGAGCTTGACTGGACTGGCTCAGCTGAACGTCGAGGCGCCGCTCAAGGCAAAGGACTTGGATCTGCTCGTTGCGTGTTGGATGGCGAGGTTGTGGCGAGAGTCCAAGGCCAGGCTGGACGAGCAACTGCCGTCACACAAGTGTGAGTCTCTCTGCTCTTTGTGCCGAGTGACCGTTCCCAGTAAAGTAGTAACTGGGTAAGCAGGGAAGAATTTTAAAAAGTTGGCGCGCGCCCAACGCAACATGGCCAGACTCGGCGGCGGATATGCAGCCGCTTTTTAACCAAGAAAACTTGACGTCAACCAATGTTGATCCAACACGCCGCCGCCGTAGCTGGCGCTCACCATTTCTCCCTCATCCATCATTATCCATCCATCCATCCATCCATACACTGGTCAAGTTGATGTGCTGTCAAAGCTCCCAAAAGAGGCAGGTCCATTTGCATGAATTCTGAAGAAACCCCCACTTCGAATGACGACGTCAAGATTGTGAAACAGGTTGCAACATGTATATCTTGCAAGCAGACCACCATCCGCATCCAAAACAAAACAAATGGTCTGAATGGCATTTGTTCGCAGCATCGTTGCCATCACTCTCGCCGTGTCGTTCACCATCGTATACGTCACGTTGCCAACAACACGCACATTCTACTCCCGGGCAGCAAACGCGCGTCTCAAAATGGCTGCAGAAGCAAATCCCCTCGACCGATTAACCATCAGCCTCAACCAGACGAGGACCTCCCCTCCCACCGTGCGCGTCACAGTCACCAATGAAAATGACGGTCCCGTTACCATCATCTTGTACAACTCGCCGCTGGATTCTATCGCCTTGGTCCTCGGTATAATGAGCATCACTCCCGACGGCGCGGCAGAGCCACTGGAATTACGGATCATGCGGGCGTCGAGGGTCTGGCCGCCAGGTCCTTATTCGCTGGAGGGATTGGGACCCGGGGCCAGCGCAACGAACGACTTGGTGCTCAGGGAGCCGACAGTCCCCATGGACAAGCTGGGGAAGAAGGCGACCGTGTTCCTCCAAGGAAGATGGATGGGTGTGTTTGCGAGGGCCGAGGACAAGATTTCAAGGGATGATTTGGAGAACATTGCTTCTCAGCCTGATGCGTTTCAGGGCGAATTCAAGAGTAAGAGCATCGAGATTATGACTGGCTAATGGCGGGAAAAAAGTATCCCGTGATTCTTTGTGGTTAAATTGACGACACATTTTTTATATTATTCTGTACGTATTATCTGCTTATTCATCTGTCTATATATTATTTAGCTTGTAGGGTAGATAAATAAATAGACAGATGAACGGATAATATTATTCTGCATTCTGCCGCTAAAAGGCATTGGGACTTTTGAAGACGACGCTTAGCTTCGGGTGCGGGGCATTTGGGCCTCGGTTCTGGCCGACACACCCGATGTGACTGACATTGAGCTCTACTACAATAACCAGAAGAAGAAAAAAATCATATCTGGATTAAATTGACCAATGCCGCTGTTCAATGGGGATTTTGCAGGAACCTTTGTTCATCAACGGACATGCGAATGCTGCGTCTATAGCTACACAATCCCATGTCCAGGCCAATTATCAATCGATGGATGCACGTCACCAACTACTCGCGGGGCAACTATTGGTGACCCACACGTGACGGCCTAAAGCAAGAATATGAGGTAACAGCAACAGCTCTTTGGCAAAACGTGCCGGCCGCTGCACCGTATGAGAAATCCAAGAGGAGCTTTTTCCGTAGGACACATGTCGTGGCTTTCCCTCTTCAAAAGACCTCGTCTTGTACCACTATCCAAGTCGTCACTACCAGCTTCATCTAGTCTCTTCCGTCGCGGACTCGCAACAGTCACCACCATGGCCAACCGCGATCCCACCACTCTGTCCAACTACTCGGCTTGGCGCACCAAGCACACCACTGTCGACTTCAAGCTGGACTTTGACCGCAAGCTCCTCAAGGGCGCCGCCACGCTGCAGCTCGAAAGCCAGACCGACAAGGGGAGCAACGAGGTCATTCTCGACACCAGATTCATCAACGTCCAGGGCGTCAATGTCAACTCGGCCGAGACCAAGTGGGAGCTGAAACCTCACAGCGACCCGTTTGGCGCTCCTCTTCACGTTTCTGTCCCCGGCGGCGCTGCCAAGGGAGACGTCATCAATGTTGCGATAGATCTGGAGACGACGGCAAAATGCACCGCTTTGCAATGGCTCACCCCTGCTCAGACGTCCAACAAGAAGCACCCTTACATGTTCTCGCAATGCCAGGCCATCAATGCCCGGTCCATCTTCCCTTGCCAGGACACTCCGGACGTCAAGTCCACCTTTACTTTCAGGCTCACTTCTTCATTGCCCGTCGTGGCGAGTGGTGTTCCTGTTGGAGACCACACCCCGGCCGTGGGCACCGAGAAGACGTATGAGTTTGAGCAAAAGGTTCCCATCCCGTCGTACTTGTTCGCCGTTGCCTCTGGTGATATTGTATCCGCCAAGATTGGCTCGAGAAGCGTGGTTGTTACAGGACCCAACGAGTTGGATGAGTGCAGGTGGGAGCTGGAGCGGGACATGGACAAGTTTATGGAGGTTGCTGAAAGGCTCGTCTTTCCTTACAAGTGGGGAGAGTACAATGTTCTTGTTCTGCCTCCCAGCTTTCCCTACGGAGGTGAGTCTCGTCTCGCCCAGCCATACACTTGGTAGCGGAATTGCCGTTGCTGACAAAACTGCCAGGCATGGAGAACCCCATTTACACGTTTGCTACCCCTACCATCATCAGTGGTGACCGTCAGAATGTGGATGTCATTGCCCACGAGCTGAGCCACAGCTGGAGCGGAAACCTGGTTTCCAACGCAAGCTGGGAGCACTTGTAAGTCGCCTTGCCTCGCCTCGCCTCGCCTCGCGACACTGAGTCTGGCACTGACGGCTTTGTGCTAACCGTCAACGTCATACAGCTGGCTTAACGAAGGATGGACCGTCTACCTCGAGCGCAGAATCCAGTCAGCCATCCACGGCGAAGCCGAATTTGACTTTTCTTCAATCATTGGCTGGAAGGCTCTTGGTGCGTATCCTATCAGGGCTTCCCCGTATCGGCAGAGAGTGAAAAGACTAACCCTCGGCAGAGGACGCGGTCGAGCTCTTCGGCAAAGACCACGAGTACACCAAGCTCATCATCAGCCACAAGAATGTCGACCCCGAGGACGTCTACAGCACCATCGCTTATGAAAAGGGCTTCCACTTCCTGTACTATCTCGACCGACTCGTCGGCCGTGAAGCCTTTGACAAATTCATCCCTCACTACTTTGCCAAGTGGTCCGGCAAGTCCCTCGACTCTTTCGAGTTCCGGGACACATTTGTGGACTTTTTCAACCATCTAGGCGACGAGGCTATCAAGCAGAAGATTGCCACCATCGACTGGGACGGTCGCTTCTACACCCCCGGTCTGCCTCCTAAGCCAGACTTTGACCTGACCATGGTGACTGCTTGCTATGAGCTGGCCACCAAGTGGAAGGATGCTGTGCGTTCAACTCTTCAATCGCACATGACTCGAAATTGGACGCATGCTAACAGACGCCAGTCATTCGAACCCAAACCAGAGGACGTCTCATCCTTCACGGCCAACCAAAAAATCGTCTTCCTCGACAAGCTTCAAGAATCTGGTCCCCTCTCTGTTGAGCGTGCCCAGCTTCTCGGAAAGATATACGACTTCATCTCCTCCAAGAACGTCGAGCTCAAGTCCTCGTACTACCGCGTCGCCCTGGACGCCAACGACCCTACATGCGTGTATGGCGTCGCTGAGCTGCTGGGCTCAGTAGGCCGCATGAAGTTTGTCCGCCCTCTGTTCCGCGGCCTGAACAAGGTGGACCGCAAATTAGCTCTGGAGACGTTTGAGAAGAATAAGGACTTTTATCACCCAATCTGTAGGGGAATGGTCGAGAAGGATTTGGGCATTCACAGTTAGATATTTTTTTTAAAAAAAAAGGGACGGAAGAAGAAAAGCATTAATGCGCAAAATGGAAATAGAATCAAAAGGGGGAGGGGCGTAGAAGCTCCAATTCTCAATTTTTCTACTCAAGCCAAGGGGAAGCGCTCATAATCTCAGTCCACGTCTTCCCCTCATCCCTTTCAAACTTTTGCACGGCTAGGACATCCTTCCCGCCGAAATTGCCGTATAGATGGGGGAAACCGCCCTCCCACTTGATGGGGTTTGCAAATTGGTCTAGCTGGAACTTGAGTACCCACAGGGCAGACGTGGCCGAGAAAAATCTGTCGCAAGTAAGGGGGATCTGGAAGTTGTAAGGAAGAGCAAACTTGAGTCGGGTTTTGGGTGGTGTGCCGTACCTGTTGGCCGGTGCTCAGGTGGATGAAGCCGTCTTGCTTGTCGAGGTCAGAGAGGGGGAATTCCTGGGGAATAGGCTCGGGAGGGGAATTTGGGACGATTTTGTAGACGTATTTTGGGGGCGACTCGGCCGACATCTTTGCTGGAATTGGGGATGTATGCGCAGAGTTGAGGCAAGCTCCGACATGGTCATCTGTATGTACATATGTACATGTGGTGGGGAGAAGCTTGGGAGTTTGAGGGGTTGATTTTGACCCACTTCCCGTTTCCCAGTTTATCCTCGTTCAAATGCATTCACGCTCGTGCAGCATCAGAGACCAGTCAGTATTCTGGTACAGGACCGGGGAATGCTGCAGTGATGGCCATGGTAGTTGCGCCGGCATGAAGGCTCGCAGTTGCCAAGCACAGCAACATGTCTCGTGGGCCTGGCGCGTCTAAGCTATGCTTGCTATCATCTCTGCCTGACCAAAGGATCGGCGAAAAGGTCAGGTTCCTCGGATGGTGAGACCCCCTCAGACAAACCCTCGACCCAAAGCAGATACATGGCTGATGGTTGGAATTGTTCAGTGTCACGGCATACAATACCGGGACGGCATGTCTGACGCTCGGCCACGTGTATCCCAAAGACACCAACGTTTTGGTATCCGTCAATATTGAGCTGGTGCTAGAAACCCTTCAGCCCGGCCTGGCGCGGGCGGGAGAATGGCTCAACATCATAGGCTATGTGATTGATGGCCCAGCGGGTGATGCCGAAACCACGCGGAGCGTAGGTGCACATGTGCAGGCTTTGATGGTCTGGTCAACGGGGCCGTTGGATATTCAGCAGTATGAGAGAGAGATTGGGGCTGGCTTTTTATAGTTGGCCTTGTGACATTGATGTTTGGTTTTGTTTGGTTTTGTTTACTTTTTTGTTTTTATTTTTTAAACAGCCGCGGTGGGCCGGGCCGGTGAGGTTCAGATGATAACGCGCCGTGTCGGCTGCGGATATAATCATCGAGCTTAATGCCTAAGCTCACAGTTCCAACATCGATTCAAGACAAGTGCTTGGGCATTGCGGTTGGCGAGACATGTGCGTGTTCGTCGAGAGTGATTATATGTTGATAGTTTTCATGGTTTGATTTTGAAAAAGTCAATACTCGGCTCCGCGGCGCTCGAGTGACACGAGACATGACTTGGGATGCCCACGGTTTCAAAGTGGGTGGAACCCAAAAAAAAAAAAAAAAAAATAGTGTAAACTTAAGACGTCGACGGCCCATTGTCGTGTGGCCATTCTAATACTAATGGGCACCGGCCGTTTTTAGTAGTACGTAAATGGGAGCCATTTGTGAGGTACCGAGGATGTCCATGTACCTGGACGCGGGCGCCAACTGATGCGGCTTGGGCAGGCGCAGGAGCCCCTGTACCTGCCTTCCGAAGCTGCAACGGCGGATGCACGTGAACCTTCCCGCCTGTCAGCCTGTCAATGGCACTCATCAATGACAGCTCAACTCTGAGCGCGACCGAGCGACTGGACCGCGTCTCACTTTTTGGCAACAGTCCGGAAACATCGCCGTCCCACAACCACGACCTATTTTTTTCCGGCGAACCTTGACGACGTTACGATTCTTCTGTACGACATACGAGTCGCCGCAAATACCCGCGACAGCCCGCAGCACCACGGCCAAGGCCCGGACGTGTTATCACAAGCCACGACCTCTCGTGCTCGAGACGGCCGTCCGTCCTGTTGTGTCGTCATTCCGTCCCCTGACTGTGTGCCAGCTTCGCAAACTCCCCAAACCTGCGGCAGTTCTGCAGCCACCCGCAGGCTCGTTACTCAGCGCATGACAAATAGCATGCACCCCAGTCTTTGACGGCGATTCAGCTTTCGAGATCGCATATGTACATCTTCTACTCGGTTGGCGTGGCTTCCGGACAAGGCCCCCTAATCCGTACCTCGTGAAGCAAACCAGCTGGGCGCATTCTGTGCAGCAGAAACCTTCAGTCTTTAGGGGACCAGCTCAGGTCCCCGCAGGCAAATTAGCAGCCATGGCGCCTGCAGGCGGTGGAAATATCAAGGTGGTGGTGAGAGTGCGTCCGTTCAACGGCAGAGGTAAGTAGACTCAGCGCAAACTTCTTGCGTGCTTTCCCCGCTGTCTTTCGGACAGAAGGCTGCCTGGCCATTGCATGAGGTACTTACTCGCCCCTAGAAATCGACCGAGGTTCAAAATGCATCGTCGAAATGAAGCAGAACCAGACCGTCCTTGCCACCCCAGATGGACATGGCGGCAAGGGCGCAAAGGATACCGGGGCCAAGACTTTTGCCTTCGATCGATCATATTGGTCTTTCAACAAGGAGGACTCGAATTATGCCGGCCAGTCGAACCTCTTTGATGACCTTGGAGCTCCGCTTCTCGACAATGCTTTCCAAGGCTACAACAATTGTATCTTTGCCTACGGTCAAACCGGTTCAGGGAAATCCTACTCCATGATGGGCTACGGCAAGGAAGTCGGCATCATTCCCACTATTTGCCAAGAAATGTTTAACCGAATAGACACCATTCAAGAAGACAAGGCGACTAAATGTACGGTCGAAGTCTCCTACCTCGAAATCTATAACGAGCGCGTACGCGATCTGCTTAATCCGGCAACAAAAGGCAACCTGAAAGTCCGAGAGCATCCATCGACAGGTCCATACGTAGAGGATCTGGCAAAACTCGTCGTCGGGAGCTTTCAAGAAATCGAGAATCTGATGGACGAGGGAAACAAGGCCAGAACCGTTGCTGCTACAAACATGAACGAAACATCTAGTCGAAGTCATGCAGTCTTCACCTTAATGCTCACCCAAAAAAAGTATGATGCAGAAACAAAGATGGAAATGGAAAAGGTCGCCAAGATTAGCCTGGTTGATTTGGCAGGCTCTGAACGTGCAACCTCTACAGGCGCTACCGGTGCTCGATTGAAAGAAGGCGCCGAAATCAACCGGTCACTATCAACACTTGGTCGGGTCATTGCGGCGCTGGCAGATTTGTCGACAGGAAAGAAGAAGAAAGGCGCAACTCAAGTTCCTTACCGAGACAGTGTTTTAACATGGCTGCTGAAGGATTCTTTGGGCGGAAACAGCATGACGGCAATGATAGCAGCCATCAGTCCTGCCGACATCAATTACGACGAAACCCTCAGCACTTTGCGATATGCCGACTCAGCCAAGAGAATCAAGAACCACGCCGTTGTCAATGAAGATGCCAATGCCCGTATGATCCGAGAATTGAAGGAAGAATTGGCGTTGCTGAGAAGCAAGCTTGGCGGCAGCGTGGCTGGGTCAGGTCAAGCAGCACTTCCGGGAGAACCAGTTTATGCAGAAGGCACACCTTTGGAGCAGCAGATGGTGTCCATCACCACTTCCGAGGGTATTGTCAAGAAAGTATCCAAGGCAGAGATTGCTGAACAGCTCAGCCAGAGCGAGAAACTTCTCTCCGATTTGAATCAGACATGGGAGCAGAAGCTCCAGAAGACGGAAGAAATTCACAAGGAAAGAGAGGCTGCCTTGGAAGAGCTTGGTATCAGCATTGAGAAGGGCTTTATCGGGTTGCATACACCGAAGAAGATGCCACATCTGGTCAACTTGTCAGACGACCCTCTCCTTGCCGAATGTCTTGTTTACAATCTCAAGCCTGGAACCACGACTGTTGGCAATGTCGACACAAACGCTGATCATCAGGCCAACATTCGACTAAACGGAACGAGAATCCTCCACGATCACTGCAAATTCGAAAATAATGCTGATGGGACCGTTACTGTAGTTCCTTCAGAAGGGGCATCAGTCATGGTCAATGGTAAGCGGATAACGGAGCCTAAGCAGCTTCACTCTGGTTATCGGGTCATTTTAGGCGACTTCCACATCTTCCGATTCAATCACCCCATGGAGGCGAGAGCCGAAAGGGCAGAAGTTGGGCAAAGCCTGCTACGGCAGTCGATCACGGCTAGTCAGTTGCAAGCCTTGGATCGCACGCCTTCTCCTCGGCCGGGTCATGAGAGGTCAATGAGTAAGGTTTCGGACATTGTTGACTCTCGGCCAGGATCGCCGGCTCCTTTTTTGCGAAGTGGCAGGGACTCGGACTGGTCTATGGCTCGACGAGAGGCAGCTGGTGCTATCCTTGGCACCGACCAGAATTTTGCCAGTCTCACGGATGAGGAGCTTAACGCATTGTTTGAGGAAGTACAGAGGGCCCGCGCCGAGCGTGTCAACGGTCGAGAAGACGGCGAGGACTCCGAGTCCGTCACTTCTTACCAGATGCGCGAAAAATACATGTCCACCGGAACCATCGACAACTTCTCGCTTGATACAATATTGACAATGCCATCAACACCAAAGCAGGGAGAACAGGATGATCGTTTGAAGGAAGCTCGAGAGGAAATGCAAAACCAATTGGAGAGACAAAAAGAGGAGTTCCAAGAAAAGCTCAAGAGCGCAGAAGCTGCCAACGTCGAGGTTGAAGAGATTAGAAAGGAGAAAGCCAAGATGGAGGTCGCTCTTCTAGAGCTGAAGGAAGATATGCAGAAACAACTCATCCTACAAAAGAAACAGTACGAGGAGAAGATTGACAAGATGGACCCCTTCAAGCGGCCCAAGGCGAATCCAAAACTTTCCGGCGAAGAGATTGAGCAAGCAAAAAAGGTCATCAAAGTCTGGCGTGGCCGTCACTTTGTCAAGATGGCTGAAGCTGTGCTACAGAATGCTGCAGTGTTGAAGGAGGCTCAAATTATGAGCAATGAGCTTGACGAGAGTGTTGTGTTCCAATTTACTGTTGTCGACATAGGACATGCACTCTGCTCATCTTACGACATGGTCCTCAACGGGCTGACTGGCGAGGGTGAAGATGCGGCGCTGGAGGAGGCCCAGAAGCCTTGTATTGGCATTCGTGTCATCGACTACAAGCACAGTGTTGTCCATCTCTGGAGTTTGGAAAAGCTGCACGATCGGGTTCGACAGATGAGACAGATGCACCAATACCTCGACCAACCAGATTACGCACAGCACTTGAGTCTCGACAACCCGTTTGTGGAAACTTGCATGCCATCATATACCCTGGTGGGAGAAGTAGACGTTCCCTTGCGGGCTGTCTTTGAGAGCAGGGTCCAGGACTTCTCCCTCGATGTCCTATCACCTTACACATCTCATGCTGTCGGCATCGTCAAATTGTCCTTGGAGCCATCTCATGCCCGAGCGCCGACAAACACGTTGAAGTTTAATGTTGTCATGCACCAGTTGCTTGGATTTGCCGAGCGAGAAGGAACCGAAGTCCATGCGCAGCTCTTCATCCCTGGCGTATCGGAAGAGGACGGCGTCACCACAACCCAAATGATTAGCGATTTTGACGAAGGGCCGATTAGGTTTGAAAGTGTTCACAACATGAGCGTCTCAGTATTTGCACCTCAGGACGTCACATTACGGGCTGCAATCTTCGCCAAAGTCTCTGCAATGCACTTGGATAAGCTCCTTAGCTGGGACGACATCCGAGACGCTGGCCCTCTGCGTGACAATTCAAAGGGGACACGCATCAACGAATCACAATTCTTCACCCAAGAAAAACATGACCTCCTTTCTCGCGTTCAGATCATGGAGTTGAACGAGAATGGCGAATACCAACCGGTCGAAGTCAGCCAAACGAGTGAATTGGACACGGGCACATTTCAACTGCATCAAGGTTTGCAACGCCGAATCGGAATAAACATCTCTCATAGTTCGGGGGATGCTTTGCCTTGGGGCGATGTTACCGCTGTGCGTGTTGGCAAAATCCGACTTGTTGATTCGGCTGGTAAGACCCCGGATATGGGCGCCAGTGAACCCGACGTCTCTTTAAAGCTTGCTTCCAACCCAATTTTCCGCGAGAACCCCAACGGTACACGAAGCATAACCATGTACGCTCAGTGGGACTCAAGTTTACATAACTCTCTCCTGTTAGACAGGGTCACGGCGGATAAGTACCGCGTGCAGATGACGATACATTGGGAGATCAGCTCGGAGAAATTGGCGGAGCCAATGAAGTTTATCCAAAAGGTATGCGTGCAAATCTTGTCAAGAACATTTGTACGCCAGACATCCATGTTCTCTTCGCTCTGGCAAAACGTGAGATTTGTCCGCTCATCGACCGGGATTTTTACTCTCACAATGCGGCCCGCGCCAATCAAGAGAGTCGGTGATCTGTGGCGCATGAATAGTCAACACGATTACGTCAAGGGGGAGGAAAACCTGACGAGCTGGGCTCCTCGTGGTGTCTCTCTTGTGAGCGACTTTATTATGGCGCGCAAGAAGAGAAGACGCGTAGCCGAGATTGGCGCAGTACAAACGACTCTTCAAAGGCTCGGCGTGGACATTACCACCGCTCCGGTAGCGGAACAAGAACCGAAGCCTGAACCGCTCCCCGAGGTTAAGACAATTGTGCTAGACGACGACGATGACCTATTAAATGACACTCCCGACACGTCCCAAGCACCCTCCATCTTTGAAGACTCTGATAATGAGGGCCAGGACGAGGAGACAATCAAATTAGAACCTCAAGAACCCGCGGGTTCTCAAGAAGAACAAAAACCCGTCGAACCAGAGTTCAATGACCACCAAACCGACCTCCTGGAGAAGTCATTAAAACTCTGGACCAAATATCCTGACCCCTTGTCCAGCATCCTCAGCCCGGCAAACACCAGCCCTCCCGCAAACGGCATCAGCCCCGGGTCCTCCCTGCCACCGAGCCTCATCACAACCATCATCCGCGTCCCCAAGAATCCCAAAGTCTTGAAGGGCGGCTATTTACTGGTCCCCAACAACGATTCCACCCGTTGGGTCAAGCGTTTTGTCGAACTTCGCCGCCCGTACCTCCATATTCACTCCGCCTCTGACGGTGACGAAATCGCCCTCGTGAGCCTACGCAATTCCCGTGTCGACAGCCAACCCGGTGTCCTCGGGCTCTTGCACGGACCGGACGACTACGACGCGCCGCAGAGCAATTCTGGCCCTGACTTTACACCTGGTCACCGCCGCACAGCTTCCGGGCGTGTGATTTCTACCATATGGACCGGCGCTGGCGGCGGTTCCTCTGGCAGCAGTGGGCAGGGATTGCAACGCCTCAGCGAACGCATGCAAGCGGCTGTCTTTGCCATCTACGGCACAGACAACACGTGGCTATTTGCTGCACGTAGCGAACGCGAGAAAATGGACTGGATCTTCCGCATCGATCAAACATACTTGTCTAATTCCGAGAGTGCCACCAACAGCGGCATCATGAGCCCATACCAGGGGAGTGAATACTAGTCTAGTTTGCACTTGACGGTGTTGACAGCTCCTTTCCCTCCTAATATTATGGGAGCAAAAGGGTGTTCAATCTTTTTTCTCTTTGTCTATAAGCTATTTCATCTGTTTCTAATTATCTTTTTTTTCGGTGCATACGCAACTCAATGCAGGCGGCTTAGATGACCAACTTAGATTATACCCCGTTGAATTGGAGCAGAGAAAGAATGGGAGCAAAAGATCATGTAAAGTCATTTTTTAATGAAGAAAAGGAGATGTAAAGAGCCACAGATGGATACTCTATGGACTTTGGATATCTCTAATTCGAAGGATGAAAGGACGAAGAATAGAGATGGATATTTGGGGTTTACTACAATGTCTGTAGGATAATTGAACTGTGATGAGCTGATGAAATGTTTGCCGTGTCGGGCAGCGAGTTGCTCAAATTGCCTCTGGTGCCCGCTGAGGCGGTCATCTTTTTAAAATGGTCATGTTATCTGCTTCTGCAATTCGTTTGCTGCCTCCCGGGCCAGCGTTGCAAATTGCCAATGACTTGTCCCAATCATCAATCCTCATTGTCACTGTCCTGCAACTGAAACCATGGCTGTTGACCCTCTCCAGATTGTCGGGCTGGCATATCCTGGTATCTGGTCCCCAGTCCCGACGGCGGCAAGAAGGTCCGCACATCCTTGGCAAACAACGCATCTTGGGGCCGAACACCCCAGAAGTCCAAGGAGGTGTGGAAGAATAACGGGTCGAACAACGGAGACGCCGCTGCCTTTGTACACCTACTCCGTTCTTATATGCATGGTATGCAATAACTTACAAGAAAGGAAGCGCGAGCCCCCTAAGCGTGCATTTGTGTGATTGGAGCCTCCGTCGCATAGCTGAAGAGAGATGGACATCGAACGAGCTTGGGAGACGAGGGGCAAAGCATCGTGGAGTGCAAATGCCCGAGTTCAGTCCTCGTTGCAAATACTAGTATGCCGGAATGTGGAATTCGATGGGAGATGCAAGTCTGAACAGAATTCCACTCCCCATTCTACTCTACCCACAAGATTCATGTCACTTTCGACAGGTGGCTTCAGCAATCACGTCAAACAAGACAATGCGTTTGGTAGCCGGGGCCTATTCGCCGAAGCGAATGGACCCTCCCTCTTCAGCATCGTGGTCAGAATGACGGTGCCACTATCGTCAAAACAAGAACCAAATGGGGCATGCTCATGGACCACTTCCAGGGTGTTCAGTCAGGGAGAATGAAGTGAGTGAAATTGTCACGCATTAGCTGGCCCAAAAGAAGTGACGTGTTACATATACCGTACCGCCAAACGGGACCATCGTCAACAAAGGCCCAAGACCATGGTATGGGCGATGATGGTAATCGGCAGCGATTGCTGCAGTAGAGACCTCATTGAGGTCCCGCCATACCAGGACCTTCCCTGCAAAAGCATTATCCGCCGTGTTCAATGGCTGACGACGGGACACAAGGCACATGGCGCACAGGAAGCACAAGCTCGCTCGGCTAGCAAGGGCCAAAGGCTTGAGTAGGCGCTATTCTGGCCGTGCCACTTGGTGTGAGCCAGAACCAAATTGCCGGGTCAGTCCATGGTAAAAGCGGTTTACCTGAAAAGCCGGGGTGCACCCATGTCCCGTGGTGAGATGGTCGTGGATGATTTCGGGCCCAGATGAACGCCTCCTCCGGTCGTTGGCTACTCCGTACCTACTGGGTTAATACTCGAGCTAGCATGGCTGAGACCAAGCGCACATACGGAGTCCTGTGAGGGACCAACAGCGTCAAGACCTGGCGTCAAGTTGGCATAGACGTGGCTGCGGGCGGCAAAACGCCACGGGCCATTCGTCCACATTGTTGACCAGCTTGCGTCAAACATCCAAAGTGACAGGTCGGACAACATGTGGTCGAGTAGCACTGGAGACTGATGATATGCCTCGAGACCGCACTCACATGCTTGTGGCGAGTCGTCGTTAGGCAATCATCTCCGCGAGTGCATGAACCGGCAAGTGTAGAAAGATGAAAACCCGGGGGATTGGCTGAGTCAAGCCAGGCCCGTTACACCCGTGGTCTTTAAATGCTTGCATCCGAGGTGTCAGTCGGTCACAGTCGGTCACAGCCGACTTTCCCTGTTCCATCGCTGTTGCCTTCAATCCCAAGGTTCCATGCTCTTGCAGCCGATTCATCGTCTTGGCCTTTGCGAGTGAGTGATTTGGCCGAGGTGGGAAAGTGCGACCTTGGCCAGGGTGTCTCCCTGTTCTCTGGTTTGCAGATGCAGACAAAATGCAAGCTAAACGAACGACTACCAAGTACCCGTTAGATGCATCATCCATCCGCTTGGCCCATCAGTTCACCCTCCCTCCCTCAATCCCCTCTTGGAAGCCTTCCCTGGAACTCGGAAACAGCAAGTGCCTACAGAGTCAGCCAACCAGTCTTTTCGTATTGCCCTTTTGCTTTGACACTAGGTGGGAGGTGGGAGCAAAGGTTCGGATGGTTTCTTATTGATGTCGTCTATATGATCGGGCTTTTAATGATGGCCGGTTTGCTCGTATCTTCCGCCAATGGCAGATGGGCCAGTGGGTGAATATCGCTCGCTTGGTACGAAATCCACCCCCTTCTCTGGCTTGAGGTGACAGACATCTAACTTTCATAGAGGAGGCATTCCTCAAATCTTGGTTGGTGGCACAGCATAGACCCTCGCCTCCAAATTTCCCCGTCCCGTATGTGGATGTTGTTGCGCAGTATGACGACCGAAGCTCAATGCTGTACGACATAGGCTCGTACGCTCCTGTGCCGTTGCTTCTGGCAGCAGAGCCCAGCACTCAGGACAGCCGCCGCCCCTGCATCCAATAGCCCTGGATATCTGGCCATATTAACAGGCGCCAGGCGGGGAAAACGAAATAGCAAAAAACAATCAGTTGAGCAATTCCGCGCTGCACTCCACCAAGGCAGGAACAAGCGGACACGCAACCTTGTTAGAACGATTAGGAAGTGACCAGCTGGGTCAAGCCCGTGAGACATTGATGGCGTCGTAGGCAGCTCCCAACAGCACGGCCCTTCAAAGCGGGTGTGCGTAGCCCAGGGACACCCGACCCAGAGAGTCGGGAATATCACCTGCTTCTACGGAGTATGTAGTCGGGGAAATCGGCGGACGCCACGCCTGCTTCAGGCCGTTTTGTCTCTCCTTGCGACTTGAATTCTAGAGAGGTCATTGACGGGTACTCCGTATTATTCGTTCAACAATCCCAGTAGTGTACTAGTTATGTTGTACACTTGCCGCAGTGCCAACTGCAAGGGTCAGTCCTTCTTGAACCCTGGCTCCTTGTCCAGTATCCCCGTTCACTCACCCCGCTGTCAACCCCCATGCGAGAGATTAGCTGAACCAACGTATCGGGTCCAAAAGGCTCCAGAATCTCCAAGACAGAAGCGGAGCTAGCCGGGCGTTCAGGCATGCATGAAAACGGAGCATGGGCTTTTTACTGAAGAAAGAAAAAGCAAAGTAGTACCGAGCGAGTTATTATGTTGTGTCTGCTGGTCGTGCTTTTGGACGCCCGCAACCTACGTCTTTGCCCCTAACTTTACCCTATCCCAAGTGTTTTCAGGAGACGGTGCTGACCGACATGGCGACAATCATGAGAAACCCGGCCTATCCAAATTCACGGGGAAAATGTCTGTGTGCTTTGTAGCTTCCATCTCCTTCATTTGCCCTGTTGTCGATATTCACGGTGGAAGGGCCAACGCAACTTCATGCAAACCCCGTCCGAAGCAACTTGGAGCAGATTTTGCCGAAACCCACCGAAGTGCCCCGGCGGCTGATTCTGCTGCCATTCCTATCAAGTACTCGTGGATTCTACATACTTGGGTGTCGACGTTTTCATGGTTGGCAAGCTTGGATCACGTTCGTCGCCTCGAGAAGTCTTCTTGCTCATCGACGGCCACCTTTTCGATCCATGACGATTCATTGATTGATGGGTACAATTCGAGCTGGACCACAACGACGCAGAATTACCCCTGTACATATGGACACAGGTCTACTGATCAAAGCACAGTTGCCTTGCCGTCAAAAGGGGCATCGCGTCTCAGGTTGTAATTTTCTTGGAAGCCTCCCTTCCCCATAACAAGAAGCTCTAACTACACACACCAAAAGATCAAGATCTGCGTTACAAGCTTCTTGACACCTGCTTGCCATTCGTCACTTATCCTTTAGATCGTTTTCTAACAGGTCCTCGCAGCTTTGACCACACTCTACTTTCCAGCACCTAACCTGTTGCTGTTGTTAGATGACCCCATCCTCGGTCGTCCCATCGATCACCCTGAAAGCGGCCATCGCCTCAGGGACTCGACTTGCTCCAACAAATATCATCCTACTGACATGATGGTGGACACAAGCTTGAACCAAAATAGGAATGGGATGTGGGAAAAGGAATCGTCGAATTCAAACTTTCAAAACTTTGAATTTACATTCAACATGCCTTCTGAGAGCAATAGTTCCACAGAGTCCAATGTAAGTTGTACAAAATGGGCCTGAACCTGATGTTCACTTCCAGACACCTGCCAACAGCAGCTAATTTGAAATCCGTTGCCTTGATGGCAAAGTGTATGGGAAAAGTATGTCAGACATTAATGGATCTACCCATATGCATATTCTACGTTGCAACATTTGTCAGCATACTGAACGACTATCCCAATTTAGAAAACCTCTGAGTCTCTGTCAGAAAGTGTGCAGAACTACCCTGAAGAATTTGGACGCACATATCACGCTTATAGAGCAGGATGTAAGTGTCACATTCCCCTTGTACCAAAAACAAGAATAGAAATTGTTCCTCTGTGCTTGGTTCTATCGTTTTCCCTGTTGGGTTCATCTACTTGATATTCAAGGCTAACAGTTACCAACAGCATATGCTTTCCCGAACGACGTATCAGAACGCGAACGACTTGTGCTACAAAGCGAACTTTTATCAAGGCTCTTTGATGGGAAACTGTTTTTCTCTCCTTTGAGTAGAACGAACCCGCCGCGTTATATCCTTGATATCGCCACGGGGCTAGGCGATTGGGCTATTCAAATGGGTGATTTGTTCCCTACAGCGGAGGTTATTGCCACTGATTTGTCGCCCATTCAACCTGAAGAAGTCCCCCCCAATGTCAACTTCTTTGTCGAAGACTCGTAAGTTATCATTTCGTTGGCTCCTTGAATCTTGCAGTGTCTCGGCCGAGTCTAACCTTTTTCTGAACCCACCAATTCTTTAGGTCTGATCCCTGGGATTACTCGCACAAGTTTGATTTCATTCACACCCGAGTAACCGGTGGATGTTGGGCATCATTCGAAAAGCAAATTGTTCAGCAGGCCTTTGATGCTCTCGAACCTGGGGGGTACTTTGAATCGCAGGAGGTTGACAGTACCCTGGGGTGTGACGATGGTACCGTAAATGCCGGCGGGGCGTTGGCACGATGGCTGGATGACATCACGAGAGCTAGCAATCAATGCCATCGTTCGTTGATTACTGGTGCAATAATGAAGGAGGCTTACGAAAGAGTCGGTTTCGTCGACGTTCAAGAGATGATATTTAAGGTCCCCACCAACGGCTGGGCAAAAGATGCACATTTGAGGGAAATTGGAAAGATGTGGGAGAGGAATCTCCTATCTGGGCTGAGCGGGTTCTCTCTGAGCTTATTTCACAGAGTGTTTAATATGAGCCCAGAGGAAATCGAGGTATGAGGCTTGTGGTTGGCTATGCGAGCAGTGACGAATCAGCAAGCACTAACAATGTCACAGGTTTCCTTGGTCGACGTACGCCGAGAGATATCAGACCCCGGGGTGCATGCTTGGATGCCGGTGTATGTTGTATGGGGCAGAAAGCCTTATCCAGGGGAAAAGGTTTGAGGATCATGTTGATTGGAACGGGAATACTTGTCCAAGCCCTTGCCATATGCAGGGGAACAAGAACACTGTTGGTCCTAGCGGTTGCATCACCGCTTCGAAAAGAAGCGATGTCCTTTCTTTCTGGGGGACTGAGGTGTTATAAGTGCATTCCGAGACGCTAAATTTGTTTGTCATTACAAAAGCATAGGGCACGGCGTCAGGCTAGAGTGTTGGCATTGTGGGCATGGACTTTGACGTCCAGCGGCGAAGCATTGGTTGTTTATGATCAATTGATACCTGGCAGTACTCGAAACACAAGAAACCACTGTCTAAGTGAGCATGCAAGTTCAACTCTCGACGCCAGGTCGCCCCAGCTAGAAAATAGGTGTCTCCAGGATTGGGGGACTGCGCCGGCTTTCCACTGGAAAGTGATCAATTGCATAGTACAGAGTAGGAAATTCAAGAGACACAACTCGGGTTGTGCAACTACCCCGAAGCCGGTCACGAAGATTGCAAAAGATGAAGAGGGCTTGTCGCAGTCGCGTGCGCCGCCACCCGTTTTGCCCGGCCCCGCCCACCTCAAATAAGCTTCACTCGTGCCCCCGACAAACGACGAACCATCTTCACCCTCGATAGACACGGCGGTCCCCAGCCGTCCAGGTGAAGAATGCTTCCGTCGCGGCTCGTCCGGCCCAGCCGGCGCATCGCACGCAGCGCCGAAACCACAGCCATCTCGGTCACATCACGCCCGGCCGTCGGCCCTCGCCTCTTGTCCCAATCCCGACTCCAAAGGTCCCGCGATCCCTACCAACGGCTCCGAAATGCCCGCCCGCTCGTGCCCGACATACTCGCGCGCAGGCTCACCTCGGCCGGGCGGTCGCGCAACTCCCAAGCGGTGGTGGTGGTTGCCGTCATTGGCGCCATTGCCTTTTACTTCTACAACTCCCAGACGGTGCCGGTCACGGGGAGGCGGCGGTTCAACTTCCTGTCGGACAAGTTGGTCGAGCAGGCGCATTCCCGAGCCGCCGAGGCCGTCATACTATCTGTCGAGGAGCAGGGGGGCCATTTCCTGTCCGACTGGGACCCGAGGTGCATGCTGGTCAAGAGGGTCATGAAGAGGCTGATACCCGTGAGCGGCCTGCCCGAGCTGAATTGGGAGATTCGCGTCATCGCAGACAACAGTACGTATTATTGCATTCTAGCCCCCCAAAGTCACTACCGAGCCACCAATGGGCTCATGCGTGTATGGAAACTGTGCAGGAACGGCAAACGCATTCGTCCTCCCCGGCGGCAAGGTCTTTGTGCACAGCGGCATCCTCAACGTGTGCCGAAACGAGGACGCGCTCGCGGCCGTGCTCGGGCACGAGATTGCGCACAATACCGCGTCGCACGTGGCGGAGCGGCTCTCGGCCGCGTGGGTGGGAAACCTCACGGCGGGCAGCTTGTTCTTCCTGGCCGGGGCGGTCCCCGGCCTGGCGCTGTTTGGAATCTGGACGCTGGCGGGCGGCTTCTTCCTTCAGGATCTGCTGTACTACCTTCCCATGGGGCGCAAGCAGGAGAGCGAGGCGGATTACATTGGGCTGATGATGATGGCGGAGGCGTGCTACGACCCCAGGCAGGCGGTTGGGTTCTGGCAGAGAATGGAGATGATTCAGAAGACGGGAGGCCAGGAGGTGCCCGAGATGCTGAGTACCCATCCTTCGGTTGGTGTGACGATAGACGAGTACCCCTTCTTGCTTGCTTTTTTTTGGGAGGGAGTGCAAGGGATCATTTGCTGACCAAGCGGCGTGTAGAACGAAAACCGAATCAATAAGATCAAGGAATGGCTACCAATTGCCATGGAGAAGAGGCAGGAGAGCGATTGTAGTGGTACGTCGGCGTTTGCGGATAGATTCAGGATTGCGCTGAGGAGGGGGATTCCGGTTCATGAGGTGTAGACTAGATGTAGACTTGGAGTGAGACTTGTCATGGCTTTGCATTAGCTTTCACAAGTCACCCGGAGACAGGTGAAGATCTATGTGATGATGGTTAGTGAAACCCATTGATTCAAGCTGATTCTAAAAGCTAGACCGCGGCTATGTACACACAGTTCAAGGAGGGCATCAGACTGACTGATGAATTTGATTTTCTCGCACAGGGCCGGGTCCACCGCTTTGAACGGTCGATTGCAAAGAAGGCTTTGATCTGCTTATCCAAATAGAGCAATACGGCTTGCAATCAAACCGTTAGCCTTTTCATGTACCGCAACCCTAGGGGGATGCTGTCGCATTACTAAGAAGCCTGACGCATTCATCGCTCTTTCGTCTTTCATCCTTCATCCGTCAGGTGACGAATGTATAAATTGATGCAGCTAGGAAATGACGATGGATAAGGCCAGTATAATGGATCGTGGATGGAGCAAAGAACAATTCCAAGGTGTGGGCGGTGCCTGCTATCGATGTACTTGGTGAGTCATGCGCGTGATGGCGTGGACTCAAGACCCGGTAAACAGTGATGACTCTGATGAGGGTATAAAGTCCCGATACGTGTCTTTGCGGCGAATCAATATACTTGTTCATGCCACCAATAGATATGCTCGCGTATGCTGTTATAAGGGTACAATAGTAGGCTTGAAGCAAAAGGCTTGAATTCGGAGATCATCTTGAAGGGCGTCAAAGGTCCTTGGTTTTCCAAGAGGAAGAGAGGGACAAGTAATTATTGCATATACCGGACATGGAAGGAAACGTCTGGCGCCTAGGGCTCTTGCCCGGTCATGTGTCCAATCCGTGTAACATATGCATTAACTTAACTCCCCGACGTATAGATTAGTTTAATAGGCTTATAAATGCATTAACTTGTGTATGCATAAATTAACACAAGACTTGCAGCACCGACGTAACACTGCAATGCCAAATGCTGTACTCGCCATGTGCATAACATCAGAGCCTGCCAATTGGAGTTTTCTCATTACACGAGTCCTGGCATGATGGATATTTAGCACGTTTAGTGTCTTGCGAAAACACGACGCAGTAAATCGAAATAGATCCCTACTACTCGGCTCACCTATACCGGCATATTATACAGAAGACACTTCGGCTTGTGATGGTGGGGCCACCGACCCGGTGCCTGTGTTAATTCCCATCACTAGCACGCCGTCAAGCGCCGTCTGACCAATTCAGCATCGCTCATAGGCCCACGACGTCGGCTGGACCAGTTCGCCCGGCACCCCGGATTGGGGGGAGAGTGGGCGGAGGCGACCCCAAGCGGGCGCGTGGCCAGGCTGAGCCGAGGTAAATGCCAAATGATGAAGTGATCCTACTCAGCTTCGTCTTTAACCTCGCTGGTTCCCGTCCTTTAAACCTCCTTGTCTCTCCAATTCCTGACAACACAACCAAACTCCTTTTCCACGCCACGCCACGCCATATCCACCATGTCCGAGACCTACACTATTGCCGACGTGCAGAAGCACAAGACAGAGGCCGATGGCATGTGGTTGATTGTCGAGAACAACGTCTATGACATTACGAGTATGTGAATTCCAGCTCCCGCCCCCGGCCGGATTATGCTACCCGTATTTTTCTCTGCCGCGACGGTACCCTTCCACACGGCCGACTGCGCGTGAGCTGGCCACCGCGCCGCTGTGCTGTGCTGTGCTGGGCTTGCCATTCTCCCCAGTGCCGTCCTTTCACGTGATGGAGCGTCCGACGGGGTTCGGCAATTGAGATGCATTCATTTGGCGACGAAACGAACTGGCTGACGCATTGCAGAGTTCCTCCCCGAGCACCCCGGCGGCGACCGCATTCTCAAGCGATTCGCCGGCAAGAATGCCACCAAGGCCTTCTGGAAGTACCACTCCGAGAGCGTGCTGAAGAAGTACGGCGACAAGTACAAGATTGGCACCGTCGCCGAGGCGCCCAAGCTGTAAACGGGCTTGCGGCAACCGGCGTGACATTTAAAAAAACACATATTTAAATGAGACGAAATGGACATGGAACCACAGCAAGGAATACAACTGGGCTGATCATGATGCCCGCTCGAACTCTCGGCGGTTTAGACACAGCAGCGTGGATGGACGTGTACAATTTTTTAATTTTTTTTTTCCCTTGAGGCCGAGTAGATTTTTGGGTTCTAGACGGGCCGGGGGGCTTGGTACTTGGAAACATATATAGACGGCATGTCTGATAGCGAGGAATGTGTACTACTCATGATGAAATTCTCACCGGACAGATTTTGCTCCCTTTGCGGACCTGTTTTGACGAGTTTGATTCGCCATTCGGCTGCCGGAACCCATTCCATCTTGACCGCCCTCTGTGTGACCAGTTGTAATTCATGCACGGAGTGTTGTTGTACTTTGCTTCCACAATGGAGGGTTGTGTCGTCTCGGCACGGCGCCGCCTCAAGCGTCAAGCTGACCGTCCCGAGGCCCGGGTTGCGCAGACAGCCCCAGCATTATCGACACTTGCTTGGCTCTTGACTGTGTAAACATCAGAAGCCGACATCGAGCCTTGCAGACACGCCCGCCAAGTAAAAGTCTGGTAGTGGGCCGCAGGCGTGGCGCAAACATGCCGCGCCCTCCCGACGGCATTCGCATCCAAGTCGCACCAGGCCTTGACGCTCGCTCCTCCTCCTCCTCCTCCTGCCAACCACCAGACAGACACATCATGGGCGACATTTTCAGCCTCGCCGCCATACGGGCCCGCCTCGCGGAGCGCGAGGACCCCGGCGCCTCATACGGGCCAACCCTCCCACCGCCCGCGGCCGTCCAAGCCGCCGAATCGTCTCTTCCCGACCCCCAGTCGCCCAGCTACCTCGGCGGCCAGCCAGCCTCGTCCACGGCATCCCACATCATCAGCGACATTGTCCCCGGCCTCACCGGCCAGGCCCGCTCCAGCCGGTACTACGGCTTCGTCACGGGCGGCGTGCTGCCCATCGCCGAGTGGGCGGACAACGTGGCCTCGCGGACAGACCAGAACGTGCAGGTTCACCTGCCGGCCCAGACGGCTGCCACGGCCGTGGAACACGCCGCGCTGGAGATGCTAGTGCGCCTGCTGAGGCTGGACGCCGACGGCGCGACGTGGGCCGGCAGGACCTTTACCACGGGCGCGACGGCCAGCAACCTTCTCGGGCTCGCCTGCGGGCGGGAGGTCGTTGTGAGCGCGAGGCTTGGCGGGCACGCCGTGGGCGAGCTGGGCTTGCTGGCCGCGTGTGCGAGCGCCGGCGTTGAGGAGATACAGGTGCTCACGAGCGCTGGGCACAGCTCGCTTTCCAAGGCGGCGAGCGTCGTTGGCCTGGGGAGGCGGAGCGTCAAGGAGCTGCCGCTGAGCGACGACCAGCCGTGGAGGCTGGATATCGATGCTCTGGAGGGCGAGTTGGGGAGGCGCGGCACGGCGAGTATCATCGCCATCAGCGCGGGAGACGTGAATACCGGCGGGTACGCGTTGCAAGGGCCTGAGGAGTGGAAGAGGGTGAGGGAGCTGGCAGATACGTATGGTGCTTGGATTCACGTCGACGGCGGTAAGTTGCTTGTGCGTGTGTGTGTGTGCACACGAGATGCCATTATTGACTTGTTTTAGCCATGGGTGTATTTGCGAGGGCTCTCGGCGACGAACCGCAACATCAACTGCTCAAGCAAAGAACTGACGGCATCCAACTGGCAGATAGCATCACACTCGACGGCCACAAGCTCCTCAACGTAGTATGTCGTCTATTTCCCGTTCCTCCATCCGTAGCAAAAAAAACCGACAGACTAACCAGGACAAGCCCTACGACTGTGGCATTTTCTTCACGCGCTCCGCGTCAACCCTTTCGTCCGTCTTTATGAACCCCAACGCCGCATACCTCGCCTCCTCAGCAGCAGCCACGATCCCATCGCCTCTGAACATTGGTCTCGAAAACTCCCGCCGCTTCCGCGCGCTACCAGCATACGCCGTGCTGCTCAGCGAGGGTCGTCCCGGCATTGCCAAGCTGCTCTCCAACATGATTGCCTTGTGCCGCAAGCTGGCCGCGTATCTGCGCGAGTCACCGCATTACGAACTCCTGCCGGATGAGAGCGCGCCGCTGGACGGCATTTTCATGATTCTGCTCTTCCGAGCTAAAAGCAAGCATGTAAATGACGTGCTGGTCGACCGCATCAACCGCACTAGGGAAATGTACGTCTCCGGGACCAAGTGGAAGGGCGAGACCGCAGTCCGTATAGCCGTGTCGAATTGGAAGGTGCATGTAGACCGTGACTTTGCAGTTGTGACGCAGATATTGGATGCCGTGGCTGAAGGGCGAGAATGTAGCATCGAGAGCTCCCTCTAATCGCAGCAGAGGGAGACTGACAAAAAGAAAAAAAAAGGCCAAACATCCGTAGATCGTAATTATAATGAAACATCCCACAACGCCCAGCTATACCGCGTAGAAATCATGGCCATGGCAAGTGACTGTGAAAGGAGAAAAAAAACCATCTTCCCCTCAGCCAAACTTCTTCGACCCGCCCTTGATGGAAACTTTTTTGTCTTTGCCCTTCTTACCCTTCCCAATCAACTCCAAGTGTCCCGCTCTCTCGCCCAGCAACGCCTCCGTCTTGGCCGTCAGCCCAGCGGAAAACTTCTTGTGAGCCTTCTCAAGGCTTGTTTTCGTCTTTTGCGGCTTGTTCACCTTGGAGGCTTGTTTCTTCGAGTGCGTTGCCTTGGGGGCCTTGGCCTTGGTGGACTGTTTTATTGCGCCTTGCGCCATTGTTCCTTCTTTTTGAAAACTGTACTATGCGGCACGCAATTTCGTTGAGCTGGTTGCGAAAATCGGCTGTTGGTTTTTTTTGGGAGGGGGCTTGACCGTGGAAATTGCCATGAGAGAGGTTGGAAATTTGGACACGACAGGGCTTGTTGGATCAATTATGTACTTTTCTGCCGGGTCCAGAGGCACTGGGATACTCACCGCCCTCAAAGGATGACCCACATCTACGAGTTGCGTTCAAGATGCCGTTGTTAGCGTTGAGCATACACACACTCATCAGCGACCAAGTGGTCTGCCACTTGGTTACCAGGGGTAACAAAAGTTATACTTGAATAATTTTAGGGAAAATTTGGTTTGTTGGGAATATGCAGAACGACGCCTTACCATATGATCACCCATAAATTCAGGTCACCCTCTTTCACCCACTTACACCAGCAATATTGAACCGGAGTCAACTCTATTATTTATGCACATTCAAGTCTATCCATGACTCCATGATGCATGGTCAAATTTCACGTTATATGGTATCCCAATGCTCACATATGCGCCTCCATACGACACTTACTCCACCAAGCTCACCTCTCCCTGCCACACTGGCCATCGCTATGGTCTGCGCAGGTAGCAACGTGGAATTTACCACCCATCCCCCCATCCATCATCGTCATCGGTCTCTTTCGGCTTCATATCAATCTTCTTGGCCGCCGGTACTTTAGCAGCAGTCTTTGCGGCTGGTTTGGCTGCTGGTTTCTTCGTCGCCGTCGACTTGGATAGGCCTTTGGGCAGTGGTTTGGCTGATCCAGGCTTCTTCTTCTGTGCTTGGGCTGCTAGCCACCCAGCAAAATCTGGTTCTTCTCCGTCATCAAACGGCACAGTCTTTTCAGGGGCCTTGCTCGTGGTCGATGATGGTATAACCTCATCATCATCTCCCATTTCCCCCCACGCATCACCTGCGTCATCAAATCCGTCATCCTGCCAGAAGGCATCTGCCATTGCGCTGGCGCTCGGTGATGTTGTCCCAGATATCTGGGTTGGCGGCGGGCTGATAGCTTGTTTATGTCGAGTAGATGCAGAGGTACTTGGCAATCGTCTGGTTTCAGGGCCAGGTGACGGGGTCGGTTTTGGTGAGTTGACTCCCGAGCCGCCGTTTGCCGTCTGCATATCGCCCGCTGCGGTCGAAAGCTTATTAGTGAACGAGGATATTGCCCAGCCCGTCCAGCCAGTAGAACCGCTCTGCTGCGGCGTCCCCATTCTTGCAGGCTGGGTTTCTCCCGCCTTCGGAGGGGGGAGAGCTGTGTCAGGCATAGCCGAAGCAGCTTTGCGAACCTTCTGAAGATACGAGTCAATGGTGCGATTTGCCTGGTCTCGAATCATTCGCTCCTTATCAATCATCAATGGGCAGACTAAGGGGAGAATGCGGGCGGCGCAGTCCTCTTCGGTGAAGTGCTCTGCAGTGGCGGCAAGTGACATAAGAGCAGCATTTCGGGCATGGACGAATGGGTCCCTCAAAGACCGTGTAAATGCAGCGATGAGAACTTTGGAGCGGGAAGACGTTCCAAGATATTTAGCAATTTTTCCTAAGCAGATAGTGGTGTTTGTTCGGATACCAGGCTGCTCGTCGTTTGCAGTTTTCGCCAGGTGCTTGAGTAGGTCACCATTTATAGTCCTATCAGACAACTTGTTGATGAGAAGGAGAACCGACTTCAGCGTCTGCTCTCGAACGACTGGTTGAACATCTGTGAATCCCGTGACCTACGTAAGTGTCAGCTAGGGTTACCTCAATTGGTGCTAGGGGTTACCAACTATATGAGGAAATAGCTTGTCGTTGACAATCTTTTGAGGTAGTCGGTCGATTATCAACGGTAGATTGTCCAGTAGATACACTCGAATAGCTCGATCTGGGTTTGCAAACATCTTGATAATAAATGGTGTTATCCTAGTTTCAAAGTCGTCGTTGGACATGTTGGCAGCAATTTTCAGAATGACACCGAGAGCCTTGGGGCCGCCGCCACCAAATTCAACCGACTTGATCAACTCAGGTAGGACCTTCATTTTGAAGAACTCTTCGGGGAAATCGTCAGTGAGTTGGTCTAAATCGCTGCCATGTTATTAGTCTCGGGACATGAGAGTATATCTTGCAATATAGAATTACCTCAAAAATTCCTCTCTCTCGCTGGGAGATTTCATTCCGAGGTTGTCGATACCGTCCGTTAACTTGATCAAGGGGCTGTCAAAGAACGACCCCGTCCTGTTGCCCTGTTCGAGAAAGGCAGATACAGCAATACGAGCCTTGGGATTAGCATTGCAGAGTCTCTTGTAACTTGACTGCATCGTTGGAGGGATATTCTTCGTTTGGCCAGCTTGGCCGCTTCCATTGTACTCATTGTTAAATGTTTCGAATATCAGTACTCCAAAGTTGAAGGAGTCCACCGCTGAGTGTGGGTTCTTCTTGATGACATCCCATCCACCTTGAGCCAACTCTGGCGGCGCATAGCGAGCTGAATCGGGTACTAAGCTTCCATATGTCTACAGGAATGGTCAGCAACTGGCATTGGCGGCTGACTGCTCATGCTCACATAGATGGCAGATTCATCGTCTTTGACGCTACTCAAAACTTCAAACCCGCCTAGCTTCCACTCTCCGCTTTCCGACGTATATACAGATCCCACTTTGAGGTTTCCGTGGATCGACGACGCGTCGGTATTAATAAACTTGATGGTTCTCTAAGCAGTCGTTAGCAAGTGAGAATGCTCTTCTTCCGCGGGACACATCTTTCGCACCGCAACACTATGCAAGCCCCATTTAATTGTTTCGGGGGCGAGACTCTTTCGGCGCACATGCCATCGAAGAGGAACGACCCGCTCAGTGGCAATATATATGTAGGTTTCGGTCTGGTCTGGATTCAGCAAAAGGGTTCACGTTCGAGATGGCGAATTGGCATTGTATACCTCGACGGTATCCAACACCTTTATAACTCCGGGGTGTCGCATCGTCCGTAGTTTCTTCAGCGCATTTCTAGCCAGAGGGAGGCGGCCTCTATTGGCTGTGATATCAAAGGAGAAGATGCTGCAGTTTGACCCGTCTTCCTAAACCAGAGGGTTAGCATGTGGTGCAATCGCAGGCCAGGCAGCGTGATTCCGAACCCTCTTCGTTCCATTGTACAGAGTAAAAACGGACTCGTCAATGTCGACTTTATCTCCGAAGCTGTATGGAAACGGAGGCCCCGTGGCAATGGCAGATGCCACGGCATTCTTTAGAAAGTCCATGACCAGGCAAGATGTCTGCTAGGTAGGCAGTCCACAGGAGTGAACCAGTCGCTCGAATCGGTACCAATGAAGATGTGCAAAGATGAAGGTATCGGTGGCTTCTGAAATGCACAAAGCTTGCACAGGCTCAGCGGCGCGCAAAGCCAACAGGTAGAAGAATGCAAGGCAGGCCTAAGCAGCCACGAAGCTTCAATGGCTAAAGGGTTGCGCGTGGTGGATGAAAGCCAGCTTGCCAAGGCTCGCGTGGCCCCTCCAAGCTGGTGGCCCCTCGCTTTCAATCTCGGGCCCCGCCTGTGCCTAGTACTTGAGTCGTTCCTACCTTCTCCATGTCATTCATTCTATGCGCAACAATATGTCAGCATCACCGGAGCCGAAGGCACTGGAGACCATCGTTTTCGATAACATGGCATATATGTTGCAGGTGCCTAGGCACTTGCAAGGCTTTTATTTTAAATTTTTTTTTTTCATCATCCAGACACATGGAAAGATGGCACCAAGTCCCTGGGTACACCCGTGCTCTGTACCAAGTAACTGCATAGTCTTTGTGATATTGTGCCAGTCGAGCCAGTCAGCGACTCGGCACAAACGGCCCACTTTCCTCCGGATGTGCATCCCGCCCCGCTAAGCGCCAGCGACTATGTATGACAGCCGGAAACTCAACCTGGCTTCCTTTCCTTCACCAACTTCAAATACTCGGCATTCGGCCACCTTTTCCGCTCGCCTTCTCTTCGGCCGCGTTTGGTCTCGATGCGGCATCTTTCGCATCAGCTTAGTCCTGCCCATGTTTCCTACTTACTCGGCAATTGTATGGGCTGCCTCACAGCCAGTAGGAGACTCAACCTCTCAGCTTGAGGCTCGCGTGTCACCTCGTTTGCCTTGTTGTCCCACAGCCGCTTATTTGGCTTCACCACAGCTGCACCCTACGAAGCGCCCGGGACCTTGTTTGAGTTTTCTCGTCACTAACACGGGCGTTTCCTGCAAAATCTGGTGAGTCCAGTTTGCTTGCTTCTGTTCAACAATCTCCCACCAACTCTTGCAGCGAGTGATGCCATGTGGTAAAAGGTCTGACCGAGCGGAACCTTCTGTGTTTTGAGTCTCTTTCAATTCTTACAGCAAGCCACCCCAGACTACGTTACGTTAGATGGGAGTTGGACTCAGCTGGCGTCTGCGTGCTGTTGATAATCCCATTGGGAACGTTTCCTTACAGAGGTTCGCGGCAGCACACCCGACGTACATCACGCGTCGCAAACTGGAGTTTTGATTCTCGTATTCTACGGATCAAAGACCAAAGGCCGCGATCAACAGGATGCATTGCCTTGTCCCAATTCTGCAAGAGTCAACTCATAACCGCTGCTGTTCCTTGGCTGAAGTCCAAAATGAATAACTGAAAAGATCTGACGCTGTCCTATTTTGTTTCCCTTTCTGGTATCGAGTGCATGGACGAATAACTATTTCTAACACATCCGTGCATAGTACATTCTCAAACAGGATTTTTCGTCCTTCGAGTTCATCAGTTTGTCATCACTAATGTTTCGTCACTGGTGAATTCCTCTCCGGCGCTTCGGGGGACGCGTCAAGTTCAGCTGCACAGATGCGGGCTATACGGCTCTCCCCTTCTGCGAAGCTTTCACGATACCTTGACATGAGCGAACATTATGAGCAGTCTAAACCCTGAAGGAAAAGCAACATCGTCAGCTTGCTCTCAAAGTAGTGTGACTGTAAATACTTCCGGGGTGGAATTCGCGAAGAATACTGGACCACACAAGTACACGGCCAAGAGAACACCAAGGTCTCTCCCGGGCTCTACTACCGCGACTAATTTCTCACCCCTTCCACCAGTCCGACATATTTTATCCAACTCATCTTCTACGCGTGTCGCGCCCGTCGTGCCCACTGATTCAGCAACAGCGGCCGCGTCTAAGCCTCCGCATTTTGTTCCATACGCCTCTCGTGCCCGCACACATCATGCTAGTACAAGGACAGACCTGTCCATTCACACGCAAGTTTCACGAAATTCGTTCCAGAGCAGGCAGCCATGGTATCCAGATGGTATTCAGAGTTCATATCAACATGCATCTCAGCCAGCAGGGCAGGTCTCTACGATCTCGACCCGCACACGACGTGCGCTAGATCCTCCGCCACTAGGTAGGGTTCGCATGCCCAATGACAACTTGTACGAGTTCACCTTCAGCGCACCAATCATGGAACAGCCGAAATCAATAGGCAGGATACCAATAGAGACTGTGCCAGTCAAGGCATCCTATTCACCAACGCCAACTATTCCCAGATCGCAGCCGCCGCCAATAAGTTCCAGTCGGAAGGGGAACAGCTCATATTATGGTCAGGTATATATCGACTTGACACAGGATGGCCCAAGCCTTGATTCGGAACCTTCAGCAGCTACAAATGGAGCAAATCTTGCTCCCGTCCAAAAAGCCGAGCCGCTGCAGGTTGCCAGAGCTAACCGCCTGGGCGCAAATAACAAAGTCAACCCACCGTCGCCATCCATATCAGACGCATCGTCTGACTTGCCATCCACGAATCATATATGTCAAATAGTGACTCGTGATACTCCCCGCACTCCAGGCCAGAAACGAAAGCGCGATGACAGGCCTCCAGATCCCCTAAATGGTGTTCAACAAGCCGCAGTTACCTCTTCTGCTAGTGCAAGTGTAATCCAAGGAGTCGTCAAAGACACCGTTCGGCCTGCCTCGCAAGTTCCTCTTCAGGAGAACATCACCACACCTGCAAAAATCGCCGTTCAGATGAAAGTTAAATCAGTACAATTTGACTCATCTGCGTTTGACACAGCTCTATATCAGCAACCTGATGCGGCACCTCCTCCTGCTGGGGTAGTGATCGGTCCGCGTATAGAAAACAAGCCCCCCTTAAGTCAGACGACTTACATCTATGCAAACCCAGCTATCCATGGAATGCACAACAGGTCTAAAGCGTGGCACGAAAAAAAAGCCCTCGAGATTCAGTCACGCGGCGGTCGCAAGTTCTGGTTTAGTAAAGTTTCTGCACGTCTGCGATGGTTGCAGAGGAAGCGGATTAGATCTTCCAAAACGCAAGACGTAACCTGTGACCAGATGCCAGAACGCGCTGATCCAGAGCCAGGAGCCTATAGGAGGCCTCTGGATTTTGGGGATGTGCCTGAGTCAAAACTCCCCGAAAAGGTACGGCAGAATCCGGACTGGCTAAAAGCCTGCGAATGGTTCAGACAGCAACAAAACTTACGAGACATGCGGCTTCGCGAATCTAAAAGATGCGAGCAGGAAGCGAATGAGTACTACATGATCCTATCGCAGGGAGGGATTCCGGACCTGGGAACGGAAGGTAGTGACCAAGCTCCAGTATGAATGATGAACGGAGTTAAAGGGTATTAGTGGCTTTGGCTTTGATGGCGTTTGGCATATACCCATTCGAGATAGGATCACTTTTTGATGAATACCATGCGGTGACTTGGCGTTAGAGTAGATAAACAGCGACTCCAGTAAAAATAATGAATATACGCGGATATCACAGTACAAGACGGCGGTTAAGGTGACTCAATCAATTGGAACTTTCTATGTTTTTTGGATATACCAAACGCCAACAACATCGCCAAGAAAAAGGAATAAAATACAGCAGACGACTCAACAAGGGACGACCACGCTCGGCCTTTGGCCATGGTCCTGTTTAAATTCCCTTTGAGAGCAAGTTCAATGCACTACCAGCCAAAATGAACCCGGCCTGATCCTTGGTAACCGCATGATTGGTCGGGATTAAAATTTCCTCGCCGCTGCTCTTCTTCACCTTGAGCTGCACATCGCCCTTGCCCTCATTCTGCAGCATGTCATACAACCCAACGGTGGCAACCTCGTCCCCCGCCGCAATCTTGTCGTAGTCGGCCTCGTTGGCAAACGTCAGCGGAACAACGCCCTGCTTCTTCAGGTTGGTCTCGTGAATTCTGGCAAAGCTCTTTGTCAAGACGACCCTGGCGCCGAGATAGCGCGGCTGCAAGGCGGCGTGCTCTCGTGCCGACCCCTCGCCGTAGTTGTGCTCGGCCACGACGAGCCATTCCTGCCCGCGGGTCTTCCAGAGCTCCGCCAGCTCGGGGATGGTGTGCTTGGAGCCGTCGAGATCGTAGGCGGCGTTGACCTCGCCGGTTTCAGCGTTGACGGCCGTGTTGAGCGTGTTGGTGGAGATGTTGGGCAGGTGGCCCTTGTATTTGAGCCAGGGGCCGGCGGCGGAGATGGTGTCGGTGGTGCACTTGCCGGTTACCTTGACGAGGACCTTGAGTCCGGCGAGGTCGGACTGCGGAAAGGGGGCGAAGGGCTCGAGGAAGGCGAGGCGGTCGGAGGACGGGGAGATGGCGACTTGAACGGACGGGTCGGCGTCTTGGGAGAGCACGCCGAGGGAGGGGACGCCGGATTCGAAGGGCGTCTGGGGACCTTCGAGGCCGTGGGGCGGGGAGAATTTGAATGGCCTGCCGGACGGGGTTTCGAGGGTGTCGGTGACGGGGTTGAAGGTGGTTGAGCCGGCAAAGGCCATGGCGGTGACGATTTCGGGCGAGGCCAGGAAGTTCATGGTCTCGGGGTTTCCGTCGTTGCGGCCGCGGAAGTTGCGGTTGTACGAGGACAGAATGGCGTTCGAGGTGCCCTTTTCGACGCCGTCCTGCCGCTTCCACTGGCCGATGCAGGGGCCACAAGCGTTGGACAGCAGGATGCCGCCCGCTCCCTCAAAGGTGTCGAGCGTTCCGTCACGCTCGAGGGTGGCTCGAATCTGCTCGCTGCCGGGGGTGATGTAGAAGTCGGCAGCGGGCTTGAGACCAGCCTCGGCAGCCTCCTTGAGCAAGCTCTCTACACGGGTCATGTCCTCGTAGGAGCTGTTGGTGCAGCTGCCAATCAGGCCGGCGGACAGCTTCTCCGGCCACTGCTGGTCCTTGACGACGTCCTTGAACTTGCTCAGCGGGGTGGCGAGATCGGGCGTGAAGGGCCCGTTGATGTGAGGCTCCAGCTCGGAGAGGTCGACCTTGATGACCTGGTCGTACTCGGCACCAGCATCGGCCTTGAACTGGAAGCGAGCGTCTTCGGGGGCTCCCGCATCGGGGAAGCTCTGAAGAGCATTGACATTGTCGACGGCCCGAGCACGACGGGTCGCCTGGAGATAACGAGCAGAGGCCTGCGTATACGGGAAGATTGAGGTCGTGGCGCCAACCTCGGCTCCCATGTTGCAGATGGTCGACTGGCCCGTAAGGCTCAACGTCTCAACACCGTCGCCAAAGTACTCGATGATGTAGCCCGTCCCGCCGCGAACGGTCAGCTCGCCGGCCAGTCTCAAAATAACATCCTTTGGCGACGCCCAATCGCCCAGCTTGCCGGTCAGCTCGACGCCCAGGATCCTGGGAGCCTTGAGCTCCCACGGCGCGCCCACCAAGGCCTCGACGGCATCGGCGCCGCCCACGCCAATCGTCACGGTACACAAGCCGCCCGCATTGGGCGAATGGCTATCGGTCCCCAACATCATCAACCCGGGCAAGGCGTAGTTCTCCAGGACGGTCTGGTGAATGATGCCGGCTCCGGGCGGCCAAAAGTCCATGCCGTACTTCTTGGCCGCGCTCTCCAGAAAGTCAAATACCTCCTTGTTGGCAGCAATGCCGGCCTCGAGGTCATCGCCGGCGCCCTTGGAACCCACGATCAAGTGGTCGCAGTGGATGCTGGCCGGGATGGCGGGCCGCTCGAGATTGCACGACATGAATTGCAGCAGTGCCATTTGCGCAGACGCATCCTGCATGTTGACGCGGTCCGGCTTGAGACGCAGGTTGGCCGTGCCGCGGACATGGCGCCCGTTGGAGGTGTTTGTGAGCAGCGACTCCTCCACGTTGTCGAGGTGGCTGTAGAGGATCTTTTCGGCCAGCGTCAGGCGCTGCGAGCCCAGGACCCTGCGCACGTCGGTGTACTTGGTGAAGAGCTTCTCATAGGTTGGCGGCAGTGATTTGACGCTTGAAAAGCGCCGGCGTTGGGTGAGCAGGCCGGACAGCGCTGGTGATGCCGGTGACGATGCGTGTGCTCCGGAGCCGGAGCTGCGCACTGCGCCTCGCAGGAGACTCTGCAGGGACAGAAAATTAGCATTGGTTGGGATTTTGGGAAATCTAGCAAAGTCGCGAGTATGCTCGTACCGTCATGGCGCCTCCTGAGCGACTGGCCAGTTCAATTGGGGCCATTGTGTTCACGACGACAGTCTTGTCTGTGCAAGACGGGATGTTTATTCGAGACGAGGATGACTGGATCTTGGGGATCTCCGAGCCTGGATGTGGGGTCCAAATTTTTAATTGGCGCTGTTGGATTGGTCCAGGCTTGAGTCACTAGTCACTCCTCTCGCGCGTGTCGGTCCGGTCCTGTGGATCACGCAATCACATCCCGGCGCCGATAGTCCGATGCCTTCCCATCCGTTATATACTCCGTACATACAAACGCACTATATTATTATACAATATTGCTCCTCGTTATCATCAATATACAGCAACCCCGTCAGCATCTTCCAGCCACAACGCTGCAAGGTCTTTCGACAGCCCTAGTCGCAGTTTCCGGAGCACATCCTTGCCCTTGCTGGACACATGCCATCCCTTCCTCCAGTCCCAGCCTCGAGTAGCCTTACCGCCAGACATGGTTGACTTGTGCATGTGGCTGACAAGCATTGAGCTCCCGCTCATTACATAACTGCTTCCGCTCAACGATGCCGTCGACTTCTCCATGAGATCCGCCGGTGTAGATCCCTTCAGACCCTGCCCTGACGAAAGGACCAAGCCAAAGAAGGAGTCGCAAGAGTCGTAGACCCGCGATCCCACAGCTTGCACGTCCTCGACCGCCTTGAGAAGAACATCAATCTGATCAAGAGAAATGACTGAGGGCGTCTGGTTGATGAAGACGCTTGCCTCGCCGAGCAGGGCTAGCAAAAAGTCCTCGCTGACCACTGCATCGCGCGACTCATCGTATAGTCCTCCTCGAATATTATCATCTGCGCTGGAAATAACAGCCATCAAAGCCATCGCTGCCTGTTTCTTGAGTGCTTTCGCTTTTGTACTTGAAATCTCCTCCAGCTTCTGCTCATCACGAATCTCGTAAAACTTGCGCAGCGTAGCATAGCCGCTGAGCATGCGGCCCAGCAGCTGTGCAGCCTCCAAATCTTGCTTCGCTTTGGCTTCCAGGGTTTCTGTTCTCTTGCAAAGCAAATTGCTAAGGTCTTCGTCTAATTCATGTTTAGCCGGGAACGCCGTCGATTGAACTAGTGAATATGCTATGAGAAGGTTCAAGACTTCTCGCACCCTGTCTGGTCGATGTGACACGGCATAATACCAAAGTACCTCGCCGTATCTATGGGACTCCCTAGATAAGATGTCGGCAAACGTCTGCGTCATCAAAATCAGCTACAGTACTTCTCACGTTGGGCAAATTAGTAAACCAACCTCTGCCGTCTCTTCGGCATAAGTTATCATGCCAAGATCATTGAGTATCCTCCACATTCGGTCGACAGTTCTGCTGGAATTCTCGTCCAGTGTCGCAAGCAAATCTCGGAGGAGCTCCCCAACAGTTTCCTCCGACTTCTGCGGCTGGTCCATTCTACCCAGGACTTGGATGGCCATTTCCCATCCATCCTTGTGCGCCGAAAGACGCTCGATTCCGGCCAATTCCCGCGCGTACAAAACAAGGGTGGTGTCTTTGATCCCTTCCAGCTCGTCAGTTGAGGGTGGCACTAGACCGAGTAAAGCAAGGTCATCCATATCCAAGGTATCTATTGGCAACGGCTTGGCAGTCTCTGTAGGAGGTAGCCACTCGCCCAGTGAGGCGATCTCGGCAACAGACGATGCTACGGGAAGCGACCAGATCCTTAGAAGCCCGATGACGCCATTCACGTTGCCTTCAAAGCAGGAGGCAATGGCGACTTCAACGGCATTCACAGGATTGGGGCTCATGTCCGATTCAAGAACAAGTCGGAATGCGGAACCCAGTCGCTCGAAATAGTCCGATGAGGCCCCCAACTGCGATCCAGAAGACGCTCGGAAACCTCGAGCATGAGACAGCCTCAGGGTTTTATGACGCTGGCTTCCATCATCCCACCATCCAAACAGCCCAATTGTTGCCTCGCACCAGTCCTGGGCTGTCTCCAAAATAGACTCGTGGTTTCCAAGAACAATGCCGTACACGATTTGTAGGTTTTCATACACATCCCAAGGAATTTGACTGGATGCTTTTCGGGCCATCGTTGACATGGACTGTGGTTCAGGGGAGTAGCTGTCATCCAGGGACCCTGAGAATTGCGTATCGCGGCCCTCGGCAAACAGTTTCAGCCTATCTAGAGACCCACGAGCCTGGACACGAAACAGAGTCCAGCTGCTGTTCCAAATGTCCCAGTCGCCCGCCATAGCTGGACACTTCTCCAGCATGTCACAGGTCGCTTCCGCGAATCGGCGAACATTTTCCAGTGCTTTGCCCGTGTATGCATTATCGCCTCTTGGTCCCCTTCGAACGTTCTCCCACCCGGCATTCTTCAAAAGTTGAGAGGCCCCGCGTACATCGCCTCTGAGTAGGGCGTTTCGAAGCGTTTGCCAGTATAAGCTATGGCAAGCCGGGCCAGGCTTGTAGCGGCTGATTTCGCGAATTTGGTCCGGGTACAGATTGTGGCTTGCTTGCTGCCAATCGAAAAGAACTTCGGGCAGAGGTGGTGTCTTCTCATCTTCCAAGTCGTTGTCAAACCTGGTGTGGTGCAAGCGCAGAGCTAAGTGAGCAACATACGCTGCCTTCTCAAACGGGTCAGCATCAGCTCCAGGTCCAATGGTCGCAAAGTCTTCCCCTTCGGGCCGAGGCAGGTCCTCGACATGGTCATTCCAGAGCTTGACCAGTCGAAATGAAATATTGGCTAAAGAGTTGTCCATTTTTTCCGCATCATCCACCGCTCCGATGCCCTCGTCGTAAAGTCGGCATACCAAGTCCTCTGTCTTGAGAATCAAGTCAGGAGACTCTGTAATTCTCGCAGCATCGTGTTGGGTGTACATATCTCGAGCAATAGTCGCAAACTGGAATTCTCGTCGCATAGAGCCCCCGAGTCGTGCTGACGACCGTCGGAAAATGTCTTCAGCTTCCCTTCGAACTCTGTCTGCTGCGGCCGGAGTATTCAGCATCATCAAGTCGTCGCCTTCGCCGATGATGGGTTGTCCGTAGGGCCGGTCATTGTGTCGCATGTTCAGAAACAAGTCCCCTTCATCAGAGCCCTCTTCAGAAAGTTCATGTTCCTCTTCCTCCTTCTCCTCGCCTTCAGCATCCTTATCACCCTGAATGTCTCGGTCAATGTATCGCTCGATCTCGGCTTCGATATCGTCGCCCTCTGCGTCCTCGTCGTCCTCGTCGCCGTCTCGGTGGGGCAGGGTACTGGATTTACGGAACAAGCTATGTGGTGGGAGTCCGTTTCCCCCTTCAGCGTCTTCGGCTTCGGCTTCTTCATCGCTGATGCTAAATTGCCTGCTCAGGCTGGAGGGCTGGCGGTGACCTCCTCCTCTGATGGAGTGGCCGAGTGGCGCATTAGAGGGCTCAGGGCGACCAAACAGATTTCTCCCCGGGGCATTCTGTGATTGAGTACCAGCGAAGCCGAAAGGTTTACCGTTGGTGCTTACTTCTCGCAAGATGGAGCTCCCAAGGTAAGATTCTGAAGGAGCTCCCGCCGGAGTGAAGGAGGCTTGTGACGATGGGGGCGGTCCAGCTGGTGTCGTCGAGGGCATAGCGCCCAAAAACGAGAAGGTCATTCCATTCTTTGATTTCTTGTCCGGGGTGGATGGCGCAGGGCTCGAGTCGGGAACCATGAATCGGTGCGCCATTGCGACGGTAAATGTTGCGGACGACCTTGCCGTCGAGTCCACGTCCCCAGAGTCGAGTCAAATGCGGCGGTGGACGGGATAAGCCCCACGCTCTCAGTATTCAAAGATAGGCGAGCATATATCGTGGTGTCTTTTAAGTGAAGTAGTTGCCGCTTTGCGCAAAGTGTTGATGAAGAGCTGCCCAAACGCGTTCTCGTATATTTTTTGGAGCTCGATTGCCTCTCAATCGGGACCGGAATTTAGCCGGGCGGATCAACAGAGCCATAGCAACAAGGCCGTGGTGATGCCCCACTAAGTACTCTGTATGTCGCAATGCCAATTTCGAAATATACTTTAACCCGAGTATAATTTTTTAAAAAAAAATAATAATAAATGAAAACTCATTTTCCTTCATAGCTTGGACTTTTTCAGTTTCAAAACATGAATCCATGAATTTATGCAATGGCATGCAACCCCTTGAACTGGATGTTCAGCAAGTAACCTACCTACTAAGTACCTGGTAGTGAACTTGGCACAGTTGGCAGCCACCCTGGCACAGCGCGCTCACCGACGTGTACAATTGCCTTCCCTGCAGTGGCACAAGACAAAATGCGCAATTAAGAAAAAATACAGAGTAAACATGAGCTAATATCCGGGCCTTTCCATCTCTGGCACGTTCTAGGGGCTGGCACGGATCTTGGTTAGAGAGCCGCGTCGGGATATGCTCGGGGTCCGGAATGTCAGGTCGACGCCACTGACCATGAACCCTGCAGAGGGACTCTCTATTCCAGACACAGGTCGCGCGCCTACGGTGTGAAGGAACTTCTTTCATTCATTTTTCAATGCGTCCGTCCACGGAGATGGGGACACGGACTTAGTGATTGTGTGTTCCATGGTGCCCGGAACGGGGTTTAGAACGACCAGCGTGTCTTGTGCTGGCCGATTGACTCTTACCTTGACTTGGCACCAGCGTCAAAGTGGACTATCCTTATTAATCCACCCGTCATGCGCGGGGTAGCTGCCGGCGCTCTTCGGCGTGTCGGCATCTCGATTATCCTCAGACTCTCGATTTGACATTAAAGCTGTCCGTCTCCCTCTGCACGCTTTCTACACATAGCATCGTAACACTGGCTGGGGCTTCTTCCACTCGCCTTACTCTCTGCAAAGCTACACATTCGTCATCCCGGAGCTGACAACATTCACAATGGCCGACACCGTTGGAAAGGTGTGTACAGCGCGATAACACCAGCAGCAAACTCGCCCCCTCCAAATGACGCCTGCTCGTTCTGTTCAGAGACTGAAAGATTGACCGTCATGTCGCGCAACAGACCATCACTTGCAAGGCTGCCGTAGCCTGGGAGGCCGGCAAGGAGCTCAGCATCGAAGATATCGAAGTTGCTCCTCCCAAGGCCCACGAGGTCCGAATCCAAATCTACTACACTGGCGTGTGCCACACAGGTTGGACTCCCATGCCCTCAGAGACAGTTTTACCCGACCTAACAGGAAGAGCAAAGACGCCTACACTCTGTCCGGCAAGGATCCCGAGGGTGCTTTCCCCATCGTCTTGGGACACGAGGGTGCCGGTATTGTCGAATCCGTTGGTGAGGGTGTCACTAATGTGAAGCCTGGTGATCACGTCGTCGCTCTGTAGTACGTGCTTCCGTCTCGTAGAAGCTCGCAATGAGCCACGCGGGGCCGTGATTGCTAACGATGATTCATCTACAGCACACCGGAATGCAAGGAATGCAAGTTTTGCAAGTCTGGAAAGACCAATCTTTGCGGCAAGATCCGAGCTACCCAGGGCAAAGGAGTGATGCCTGACGGTACATCTCGGTTCAAGTGCAAGGGCAAGGATCTCCTTCACTTTATGGGCACGTCGACATTCTCCCAATATACTGTGGTTGCCGATATCTCGGTTGTTGCTGTTGAGACTGATGCTCCCATGGACCGTACCTGTCTGCTGGGATGCGGCATCACCACTGGGTACGGTGCTGCCCGTGTCACTGCCAACGTTGAGGAGGGCTCCAATATTGCCGTCTTCGGCGCTGGCTGCGTCGGTCTATCAGTTGTCCAGGGTGCTGTTGTCAACAAGGCGGGCAAGATCATTGTCGTTGATGTAAACCCTTCCAAGGAGGAATGGGCCAAGAAGTTTGGTGCCACCGACTTCGTCAACCCTACCGAATTGAAGGGCCAGACCGTTGTTGAGAAGCTGGTTGAGATGACAGATGGCGGCTGCGATTATACGTTCGATTGCACTGGTAATGTCACTGTCATGAGAGCTGCTCTTGAGGCCTGCCATAAGGGCTGGGGCGAGAGCATCATCATTGGTGTTGCTGCTGCGGGCCAAGAGATCGCCACCCGACGTGAGTACTTTACCCAGTTATGGTTATGAGTGAAGTGTCATTTTGTTAACACACCGGTTCAGCTTTCCAACTTGTTACTGGGCGAGTGTGGAGGGGATGCGCCTTTGGTGGCATCAAGGGTCGCTCTCAGCTTCCCGGCCTTGTTGGCGACTACATGAGTGGTGCTCTCAAGGTCGACGAGTTCATCACCCACCGCAAGACGCTAAACGAGATGAACTCTGCTTTCGATGTCATGAAGAGCGGTGACTGTATCCGTGCTGTTGTCGACATGAGAAAGCTGTAAAATTGGATATCCAGGTCACAACGTCGCAAAAAGTGGATTAATGATGAGATGTTCAAGTATGGAGTTATTGCATTCGGAAAGGTGAGGTTTGGCAACTGGGAGTGGCGGGACTCGCCGGTAATATACGGTCCGTAGAATGGAACCTTGATGGCCAGTATACACTATACTACTCCGTACATGGCAGTGAGAGCGTGTTCACATATTACGTGCAATGAACATGGGCCAAGGATAATGTGAAATGAGCGGCACAGACGTTTGTGCTACTGCAAACTTAGCCCAGGCGCCTCGGAAATGCAAATCAAAATGGCTACCCTACATGGTTTAAAAAAAATCATCCAACTGTGAGTTGTATCTGCTAGGGGGCATGATATTTACAACATTATGGTATTCGAGTAAATAGCAATATAGTCGGAATAGCTACTGCGTGCATCTAGGGCATCGATTGACGTATCATGTGTAATCTTCGAAACCAGGACATGAAGGCGTAACAACAGGGGCGGGCACACCTGTGCACTCCAAATCCAGAGTCAGCCAACCACAGTGCTCGCAATCACGATGCATCAGCACCACTGCCAAGGGCGCGTCGCGTCCGCCAAAATTCAGATTTCACACACTGCAACTCCATTCTACAGTCCGAGGGCCGACCACGCATTCCCAAAAAAATGAGGTCTTCACGAATATCAAAAGACACATCCAAACTATTTGGCAGCGCACCCGTTACCCGAACGTCCCCGCTACGCCGCACCACCCGATCCCTCTCACGATTCGTCTATGCCAGCACGTCCTCAACCTCCTCGGACCAAAATGTCTCCAGAACCCCCGACATAGAAGACAGCATAAGCCCGCCCCCCAAGCGGCGCCGGCGCACATCCACAGACTCGCCCATGAAGGCCATGAAAACCGAGCTCCCCGATGAACCATTGTCCTCGGTACCATCACCACCTGCAAAGAGGCGGGCCCGAAAACCAGCAAAGAAGACGACGGACCCTACGACTGGCGAAGAAAGGACATCGCCCCCGTCAGACTGGCAAGAGATGTACAATGCCGTCAAGAAGATGCGCGCTCCAGGTGGCGTGGCTCACGGCGCGGCAGTCGACACAATGGGATGCGAGAGGCTCGCAGACCGCAGCGCCTCCCCCAAGGACCAGCGCTTCCACACACTCATAGCACTCATGCTGTCGAGCCAGACAAAGGACACGGTCAATGCCGTGGCCATGAAGAGACTACAGACGGAGCTGCCGCCGCACAAGCCCGGCGCTCCGCCGGGGTTAAACCTGGACAATGTCCTGGCCGTGGATGCCAATCTCTTGAATCAGTTGATTTGGGCGGTTGGATTCCACAACAACAAGACAAAGTACGTCTCTCCGCACATGCACGAGAAGGACAGCAGCTTCGAGGGCCCAGCTAAGCTAATGACCCAGGTACATCAAACAAGCAGCCGTCATCTTACGGGATCAATGGAAAGGCGACATCCCCGACACCATCCAAGGCCTCACGTCGCTCCCCGGGGTCGGCCCCAAGATGGCCCATCTCTGCCTCTCCGCGGCGTGGGACCGCACCGAAGGCATCGGCGTCGACGTGCACGTCCACCGGATCACGAACCTCTGGGGGTGGAACAAGACGAAAAACCCGGAAGACACGCGCCGCGCACTGCAGTCGTGGCTGCCGAGAGACAAGTGGCGGGAAATAAACTGGCTGCTCGTCGGGTTCGGGCAGGCAGTCTGCCTGCCGGTGGGGAGGAAGTGTGGTGACTGCGACTTGGGGTTGAATGGGCTCTGCAAAGCCGCCGAGAGGAAAAAGGTGCTCGAGGCGAGGAGGATAAAGGAACAAGTCCAGGTTGAAGGGAGTGAGGTAGCGGTGAAAAGGGACGAGATTGTCGAGCAAGTCGTGGTCAAGAAAGAGGCGGTCAGTGAACAATGGCACATGTGAGGGAACATACGCCGGCGCAATAGTCAAGCGTATTGATTGCCATGGCCACATCTTGTCCAGGACTGTGGGAGAGGCAATACTAGTGCTGTTACTCCATCACGTCTGGTGGATTCTCCGTGCCGGACAGGCAGAACTCTGCTCCGTCACCAGAGTGAGGGTGTGGCGGTCTGCACAAGCTGCATATTCCACATTTGCCGACCCCGACCACCAGACCGCACACACGGCGCGCATATGCATGAATGCCCTACGTGACGGGACATGTAGAACCCAAGGACGAGCGATGTGGCCATTCAGACCATGGCTACCGGGGAAAAATGAGTTGTCACCAATCAGTCATTGCGAGATTGGAGGGCTCGACTGTCGGCCATTGAGTTGTGTACACTAGGTATGTATGTACACAAGTACAGAGTACTCCGTACGGAGCATGAGCATTGGCATTGGCATTG